AAGAATATATAATATAATGCTATTTATTAAACTTATAAGTAAGTAAGGTAAATACCTTAATTTTGCATTATAACTTTCTTTACTTTAAACTTAAAATTATAATAATAATAATAAATATTAATTAAGAATTTAAAGCATTTTTAATTAATATTAAGTAATATTTATAAAGTTTAAATTTATTATTTTAATCTTAAGTTTATATTATTATTATATTTAAATATAATCTTTAATAAAAAACTTAAAATAAGTTTAAAGCTTAATAATATATTAATATAAAATTAAAATAATATTTTATTTAAATATTAAAAGTATAAAAGGTATTTTAAAATTAAAAAATAATTTTAAAATACTTATAATATTATTATAAATTTAATTATACTTAACTTTTCTTTATAATAAGTTAAAAATAAATATAAACTTTAATTAAAACTTTAAGCTAAAATATAAAATAATTTAATAACATTTAATATATAAAATAAAAAAAGAAATAAAAGCAATAAATAATTAACTTATAATTAACTTTATATTTTTCTTATTATTAATTAAAAATATATAAGATTAAAATTATACTTAAGCTAAATTATTAATAAAAATAAGCTACTTAAATAAATAAAAATAGGTTTTGCTAAACCTTTTTAAAGATAACTTAAGGAAAAGCTTTAATATAATAAAAAGGGAAAATAAAAATAAAAGGGAATTAAAAAAAGGAAAAGGCAAGTATTTTAAAAAATTCTTAAAAATAAAAAAAGCTTAATTAAAGCACTAAATATATAAGAAAAAAGAAGAGTTAATTTCCTTAAGAATATTTAAAATAAGCGTAAAAGCTAACTTTTTATAGCTAACTGGAATTTAGCGCGATACTATTTCTTATGTATTTCCCTGCACCCGCTAACAATACCTATGGGGAAAAGTAATAAAATATGCTGTATATTTATATAATATTACACCTTATAAAAACCTAGAGTATAAGTGCCCTTATAAGGTGATAAATAAAAAGAAGCCCTATATAAATAACTTAAAAATATAGGAATCTATTATATATTTTTACAATAATAATTATAAAACTAAATTAAAACCTAGAAATAAAAAGAGCATATTATTAAATATAGTCTTAAAATTAAACATATATTAAATATAAAATATAAATAATAAAAAGCCTATATTAATTTAGGATGTTTAAATATTAAAAGGGTAATATATAAATAATAATAATGATATTAATATTATTAATAATAATAAAAATAATGATAATAATATATATATATTCCCAGAATTGCAAAAATAAAGAAAAGAAAATAGGAAAGTAAATTCTCCTTTTATCTTAAATGAGATAATAGTTCAAGGGAATCCAGAAGACTATATATATACTATATAAGATACATTATTAAATAACTAAATATTTATATTAAATTCCCAAGAAAATATATTAAAATATTGCTTAATTATAATTAATATTAATAAACCTTCTTCTTTAAAAAAAGTATTAAATAACTTAAAAAAACCCCTATAAGTTAAATTTATGCTAAATGAAATATATAATTTATAAGAATAAAATACTTATATAATAATGGATTTACTACCTGGCTATATAGCTTTAAGGGGGAAATAGGTATATAAAAAGAAATTTATAAATAATTTAGCTATTATAAAGCCTAGTTAGGTAGTAAATAATGAGAATAATATTAAATTTAAATTTAAATGGGTTATTCAGGGATATAATTAAAAATTAAGCATAAATTATTTAAAAACTTTTTCTATAGTTTGCCGCCCTAAGACCTATATTATATTATTTATAATAACAATAAATAAAGAATATTATATATATAATTATAACGTTAAAAACGCATTTCTATACTTTAATATTAATTTTAAAATATATATAAAATTACCTATATATATATATAATAAATTAAAATATAAAAATAAAGTTGCAAAATTAAATAAAGCTTTATATAAGCTAAAATAATTACCTATGCTTTAATATAAATACTTAAAAAATATATTAATTAAGCTAGGATTTATTATTTGCCTATATAATGAAGGGGTATTTATATACCTTAATAAATAAATTATATTTATATATTATGTGGACAATATTATCGTTATAAGACTTAATAATAATGATATAAATTTAATAATTAATAAATTATATAAAAATATAAAATTAGATTTTTAAGGAAATTTAATAGATTTCCTTAAAAGCGATATATATATAAATAAAAAAGATAAATAAATAATTATAAATTAAAATAAATATATGGATAAAATATTAAAAAGATTTAATATAAAAGAAAAGGTTGAGAAAAAGGAAATAATCTCTTAATTTATACCATATACCCTTAATAGAAAATTAGAAAAATATATTAACTAAGCTAATAAAAATACTATAGAATTATATTAATAATAAATAGGATTTATATTATATGCTAGCTTAAAAATAAGGTTAGATTTAATTTATTTTATAAATAAGTTAGCTAAATATATGGCAAACCTAGAATTAAAGTATATAAAAGAATTAAATAAAATATGGGGATATATATATAAATTCCTATATATATTTAAAGTATATAATTGCTTTAGAAATAATTTATAATTAATAGGCTATATAAATTTAAACTAGGGTAACGATATATTTATTGAAAAGAGCATCTTTAATTATATATTTAGCCTATATGATATTAATAATAATAATAATAATAAAATAAATCCTATAAATTAAAATTTTTAGCTGTAAAAAACATTAGTACTTTCCTTTATGGAAGCAGAATATATGGCTTTAAGAAAAGCCATAAAAGAAGCTGGATATTTATATAATTTACTTAAATATTTTAATAATAATTTAAATATTAGCTTTAATTTTAAGCCCCTTACTATATATATAGATAATAATGGGGCTGAGAAATTAGCTAAAAATACCTTATTTCATAAAAGAATTAAATATATAAATATTGCATATTATTATATAAGAGAAGCAATAGAAAATAATAAAGTAATATTAAAATATATAGATTTTAAGCAAAATTTAGCAAATTGGCTTATAAAATTAATAGATAAACTACATTATAAAGAGTTTAAAGAAAAGTGTAGTTTAATAGAAAAATAATATAAAAATATTAAGCTAGAGAATAAAGAGATTTTCTATTTATATTATAATGCACGCAAAATAAATTAAAGTGTTTACTCTTTAATAATTAGGGTTAAGATTTTTTCCTTTACTTATAAAATATATAAATAAATAAAGCGGACTTAATTATATATATATATAATATTACTTTAAATACTGGAGGTTTTTCCTTAGAAGAAATAACTAATAATAAAGGTTTTTCCTGAAAAATAAGCGTTATTTACACGGCCCATATATACTATATATATATATAGTTACAATATACCTATACTGCGTTTATATACGTTTAATTCCATATAGAAAATGTATTTCTATAGTGTATATAGTATAAATAAAATAATATGTGACTTTAATATATAAAAATGCCGTAATATATCGTAGCTATTATAAAATAATTAGTAAATCTTATATAAAATTATAATTTAATATATAATACCTTATTAGTTATAAGTTTAAGTTTAAGTAATAGCAAATTTTTGGGTTTTTTGCCTAAATATATAAACATTTAATAAGTAAGTTTTTCCCTTTTTATAAGGTTTTCTTATTATATAATTAAATATTCCTCTTTTATAAATTAAATCCCTTATATATAAAATAAAATAAATAAAAGGGAATTAGTTTAAGGGGGGCTGTTGGAATATTCTAGATATTTAGGCTATTATTAATATAGGATATCCTTTTCCCCATATGTTTACCACTGTATGGAGGATAATAACTATAAATAGGGGCCTTCCCTCCCGTAGAATAGACGTTAGCTAGCCTAATAGACTAAGCATCCAACGCTATTATTTCAGACAGGTAACATGGTGGCTCCTTCTTGTTAGAGCAGGACCACGCAAGACAGAATTAAAATGCCTACCATTGAACTCCCAATCTCGGCCTTTGCAGTACTGCCCTGTATGTGATAAGTTGGGTCTCCTAGCGGAAAACTTTATTGGAAATGTCAGTGGCGTGTCTGTCGGGCATGTGCTTAGCCAGTCTTCCATTGATATACGAGGTATTGTAGTCACTATTGGGTCACTCCAAATGTCCCATTTATGTGAACAGCCTTGAATGCAGATCTGACACAGAATAACCCAACGGTACACAAAATAAAATGACGCCATAAGAGGCCACGAAGCCATTGAGTTATCAACCAGCCTGAACAACAGTGGCGGCATTCAAACTTTGGACCGGTCGGTCTTTCAAGGATGTTGACGGTGCCTGCTCAGCTCGTTGTAGTGAACGTATCTGAGGAAAGTGCCAACTCAATATATGATATCACCCGAGTTCCGCTTGGAGCGGGTTTGGAATCCACAACCGCAAATTTCCGAATGAGAAATACGCCTTCTCTTGTGCGCAAAGAATGCAATGGTAGTGCCTAGGCAGGTATCAAGAGGAAGAGGAAACCGCAATCATAACAAAGTCTCCAGGGAACGAATGATCAAAAAGCCTCCGCACCACTCTCCCCAGGTTCTGCTTTTCTCTCTTCTCTTCTCTTCCAAATCCACACACCATCAACAATTCTTTGCCATCTTCAGGATATTTGACTCTGAGCCGAATAGCCCACCGACACGCAGCACTTGCTCGTTGTCTGTCATCGGAACCCCAAGACGCCATCCGGAACACCGAGTACCTCGAGCAAGTCAAAAAGTGGCATAGAGAATGCGTCGAGTCCCACGAAGCTTGCCGCAGTACTCTATCGCAGCGCGATGAGTTCGACGCCGAGGACGTCCCTTTGCCTACTCGCTATATAGAGGTCGTGCCAGACCAGCAGGGCGGCACATGGAAAGAACGATGGATCTTGAAAGAAAAACACGGAGAGCGAGGGCGCTACATAGCCCTTAGTCATCGCTGGCGCAAGGAGACCGAGAGAGCAATTACAAGGGTAGCCAACATGCGGTACCGCGTGGGCGAGCCGTGTGGGCACGATCATGGTCCGGATGCTCTCGATGACGTGTGGAGGGACAATGCGCCTCTTTTCCGAGAGGCTGGTCAGTTGACGGCACTTCTAGGCGACCGGTATCTCTGGATTGACTCGATATGTATCATACAGGATTCCCCTGTGAAGAAGGACTGGGCGCACGAGGCCACGAAGATGGCGGACTACTACCAGTATGCCTGGCTTACGATCGCGGCAACAGCACTGTCGAAAGACGGCGGGCTCTTCAAAAGTATGGAGATGGAAGACCTCCCACGAGTAACACGGCTACCGTACATGGCGATAGACGGACGGCAGCAGGGCCACATGTACGTGCAGTGTGCGGGAGAAATGGCGCTAGCAACGGACTATAAGACATATATCAACCACAGTGAGCTTTTACAGCCAGGCTGGGTATTTCAAGAGTGGATGCTCAGCCGCCGGCTAGTAACTCTGTCCAACTGTGGGCTCTTTCTCACCTGTGCTGGAACACCCCAGCCACAATCCATAATGGGTGACCCGGTGATCAACGGTGGCAGATCGTTGAAAAATACTCGGGCCTGCAGCTCACCAAGCTTGAGGAGGATCGCCTCGCGGCCCTCGCTGGATTGGCGCGGGATTTCGGTCGTGCCATTGACGGGACAGAAGGCAAGGAATCGGAAAGAGCAGACCCGGAGCTCTCGTGCCGCTATATCTCGGGAATGTGGTTCGGCGATATCCGCGGACTGCTCTGGGAACAACGGCGGAAAGGACCTCGAACGAGAGTGAAAGGGTTTCCCACGTGGTCTTGGGCATCGATAGGGAGTCTACATGACTTTCAGGGAAACCCTGTGCCATGTGGAATGAGTGTGCGGTGGGAGCGACCGCGGGTCACCAATGGCATGATGCTGAAGTTGGATAAGGAGGCCAAAGCAGCTCGAAAAGAAAGGCGCACCCCTAAGGAACTGGAAATGTTCTTCAACATTTTATGCTGAGAGAGCTTTCAGTGCTTCCGTCTCGAACCAGAGAAGCTGGGTGCCAAGCTTTCATGCAATCCGCCTCTTGAACGAAGGCCCAGACTACTGCGATGACAGTCGCTTCAGTATCCTCGAGCTACGGGGACGGGTAGCGACAGTTAATATAGGCAAGCTCTTTGAGACCCAGGAGGAAAGGGACATTGTGGCGAGGTTGACGGATCGTCACACAGATACCGGGATGGATCTGTGGAGACAGGTCACCACTGAGGATAAACCAAACAGCATTGTGTTGCACGCACATCCCTAACCCTGGTTTACAACCACTTTCTAAAATGCTTAAATAGCCAGATTTCTTTTATTTCCTCCTTTTAAACTACTCTTAAGAAATAAACGCTTTTATAATTATACTTTTAAACCCCTTATAATACTTATAGTCTTTTATAATTATAAGCTTAATTTATATAAAATAATCTTTCCTTTTTATAAGCTATAAATAAGTTATGCAAAGCATATCTTAATTATATTTATTTTATATTATTTATTTCCTTTTATTTTTAAATATATATTTATATAATAATTATAAATACTTCTTTAAACCTTATTAATTAAGTAATTTATTTAAATACTTATTTCTTTCTTACTTAATTTATTATATTATAATCCCATTATTAAATTAAAAAGTATTAAAAATTTATAAACCTTAATATATTAAATATAGCCCTTATTAAGCAACTAAATATAATCTTAAAATTAAATTTTTAATCCATATAATATAAAAAAAAAGAAATATTTAAAAGGCTTTATATAATAAATATTAAAAGCATTTAAGTAATAATAAGCTTTTAAAAAATAAAATAGCATTTACTTTATTTTCTCCCTTATCCTTTAATAAATTAAAAAAGGAATATAATTAATATTTTTAATAATAAATTACTTTAACTCTTAATAAGATAATTAAATTTAATAAAAAATAAAAAATTTAAAAATAAATATAAAAAATAATATTTAGCTTAATTCTCTTTTTATATTTAATTAAAATAATAAATATAAAATAATTCTTTATTTAATAAATAATTTAAAATATTAAAAATAACTTTATACCCTTTAAGTTAAATATAATAAATACCCTTTAAACTTAATATTAGCAATACTTAAAAAAAGTAAAAAAACTAAGTATTAAATTATAATAATAATATTAAGACTTTATAAACTTATATTTATAAGCTTATATTTATAAATTATTTAAAATTAAGATATTTATTAATTTAAATAACTTCCTATAAATAATTATAATATAAATTACCCTTAATTAAGCAATTTTTAAATGCTAAAAACTTATTAAATAAAATATATTAAGAAAATTTATTTATTTCTTAAAAACCTTATTTAAAGAATTAATAGCATTTTTATATTATAATAAGCTTATATTAGCCTTTAAAAATATTATAATATTTATTATATTAAAATTAAAAATATTTTTTAAAATAAAAAGTAATTAAATAAAAAAGCAATTAAGAAATAAAAATATATTATTTTAATTATATTAATAAAATAAAATATATAAATGCCCTTGCTAAAGAATTAACTAATAAAAGAAATATACCTAGCCTTTTATTAATTATTACTGCCTTTATTTTATATTTTTAAAAAAATAAATCTTAAAGCTAAAAATACCTTTAAAAAAACTTAAATATAATAAGATTAAAATATAATTATAAGAAAACTATTATAAAAACTTAATTTAAAAGCTTACTTAAAAAAACCTTCTATTTAAAAATTAAATACAAAGCTTATTAAAAACATTAAAAACCCTTTTAGCATATTTTTAAAAACTATTAAAGAATAATATTTTAATTTCCTTCTTTTATTTCATTTTTCTTTATAAAGCAAATTTATGCTTTCTTAAACCTTAATTTTAAAAAATTAATTAATTAATAATACCCTTATTATATTTTTATTAACTCTTTATTAATTTATTTATGCTTTAATTAATTTGTTATAATTATTAATTATAATTAATTCCTTAAAAATATATATAACCTTAAATTTTATGCTATATTCTTTATCTTTAAGTATAATAATAAATAATTATAATGCTATTTATTTTATTAATTTTATTAATTATTTAATTTTAAGCACCTTTAAAAAAGCTATTAAAATAAATATTATTAAAGTAAAAACCTTATTTTTAAAAGTTTTAAGTTATAAAATAAAGCGCTTTAAAAATATATTATATAAAGTAAATAAAAAAAGAATTAAGAATTTAATTTTAAAAAATATAATAATTATAAATAAATTTTATATTAATATAATATTAAAAGCGCTCTTATAAAAATTAAGCATTTAATATTATAAAATTAATTTAACGCTATATTTTAAATTACTTAAATAAAGCATTATTCTTTTTAAACTTATTTAATAATATAATTTAATCTTTCTTAAATATATATTATTATAATTTCCTTATTTCCATCTTTTATTATAAATACTTATAAGCATTATAAATATATATAAGCTTGCAATTTTTTTAATAAACTTAATAAAACTTTTTAAGCCCTTTTAATATTTAAATAAAAATTAAAAGGACTTAATAACCCTTTAATATCTTTAATTTAAATACCTAAGGGCTAATATTCTTAAATTATTAATTTAATATACCTAAGGTATAAAATTTAAGGAAATTAAATAAATTAATTATAAAAATTACTTTAAAGTTTTTATTAAAAAAATAATTTAATATAAGTTATTAAAAGGTAAAAGCTTAAAACTCTTTTTTTAAATCTTATAAAACCTTTTTTATTATTTATAAATATTAAATAAGTTAAACTATAAGCTTATAATAATAAATAAGTTCTTAAAATTTATTTATATCTTTCCTTTTATATTAAAAATTTAAAAATAAATATTTAATACTCTTTAAGCTTATAAAAGCTAAATAAAATAGCAATATAATTTAAATATTTATAAAATTAAATAAAATACTAAGGCTATAATAATTAATTAATTTATAAATATTAAATATATTAAATAAGCAAAATAAAAAAGTATTAATTTAAAACTTACTCCCCTTTAAACCTTAAAAGCAAATAATGCTATAAAAAGAGCTAGCAAAGCAATAATTAAATATACTTTAATTATATTATTAAAGGCTAATTTACCTTTTAACCTTTAACTAAAGGTAATACAAGCTATAGCTTAATTATATAATATATTACTTACTTTAAGGAAAAAGAAATATACCTTAAATACTCTTTTATATATATAATTTTCCTATTATTTTTAATAATTTAAATTAATATAAATTTACCATTTTATAACTTATTTATTACCTTATTAAAATAATATTTATGCTTATAAATGCAAAATATATATGCTTAAAAAGAAATATAAAAATAATATAAAGAAACGCCTTATAAAAAGGGAATTAAAGGCTTATATTAAATATTTAATTAATTATATAATATTTAATATTTTTTAAATTTAAATTCCTTTGCTTAAATAAATAATCTTTATAAAAAATATATAGTTTAATAAAAATATATTTTATAAATTAATAATAAATAAAGTAAAAAACAGCCTTTTAACTCTTAAAGCAAAATCATTAAATATTAAAATTATTAATGCTAAGAAGATTTAAGATTATATTTATATTATACCCTTAATACCTTATATAAAAAATAATCTAATTAATTTAAATAATAAATTTAATATTCATTTTATATTAAGAAAGGATAAAATTAATACTTTTAATTAAAACTTAAGGGTAAGGACTTTTAAATTTAAAAGGTAAAGTTTGCTATGCATTGCCTTTTTAAAAAGCTTAAAAGATTAAAAATAAAGACTTTTAACCCTTAAGAAAACCTTAAATATATTAAAATAAGGCTTTTATAAAGAGAAATATACTTTTATTAATAAAGTAAGAGCTAATAAACTTAAACCTTTCTTTTAAAAATTATATATATTTAAAGTTATAAGAAATTAAAAATCCTCTTAATTAATATAAATAAAGAAAATATAAGAATAAATTTAAGAGTTTAAATTTATAAAAAGATTTTTTTAAATGCATAATTAAAATAAACACCCTTAAAAATCCTTTAATTAATTATTATATTTAATAAATATAATTATATTTTACCTTAATATTACCTTTTAAAATAACTTTATAATTATTTTCTTACTTAATTAACTTAAAAAATAAAAATAAAAAATACTTAAAAATTTATATTTTTTAACCTTAAATAATATAATAATAACTATTATTTAAGCCCTTAAAATTAAGTTTAAGCCTTACTTATAATAATAATATTATAAAAATCTCCTTTTAAAATTAATTATATAAAAAAAGGCTTAAAAAAGCCCTTTTTAAAATAAATAGCTTAAAATAATACATTAAAAAATATAAAGCCTTATTAAGCTTAATATTTAAAGAATTATTAAACGTTAAAAAGCAAAATTAATATCATTACCCTTAAAATAAATATATAAATATAAGCTTAATAAAGATAAAATAATTAAATCTTTTAAGGTATAAATTTATATTTAAGAAAACTTATAACCTTATTTTATTATAAAAAGCATATATATTATAACCTTAATTATAAAATCATTTTATATAATAATAATAATTATTATATACTTTAATTTAAAGATTTAATAATTTAATATTATAATTATATTTTTAAATATTAGCTGAAAAGGGTTAAATTAAATTTATTGCAAATTACTTAATAAATTTAAGAAATTAAAAAAATATAAAGTGCTTTTAAGGGCACTTTATAAACTTAAAGACTTTTTATTTCTTTAATATAAGGATTTTAATTATATATTGCAAAATTTAAGCTTAAAACCCTTATTAAAAAAGCTATACCTTTTTATTAACCTAACTTATAAAGTAGCAATTCTCTTTTATATAAATAATATTTTAATTATATATTTTAAGAATAAATATAAATTCTTTATAAGAATTAAAAATAAGATTAAATCTGCATATAAAATAAAGAATTAAAAAAAGGCTTAATAATTTTTAAGTATATAAATTCTTAAAGACTAAAAAAAGCGCATTATAACGCTTCTTTATAACTTATATATTAAAAAGATAATAAATAAATATAACTTATTAAAAAGTAAAAACTTTTTATTATTTACTTTAATGCTTAAAAAGGAGCTTAAATCTTTTTTTAAATAAGCCTTAAAATAAATAATTTAAAAGTTTTAAAAAAAAGTTAATTTTATCCTTTATATAATAATTATAATATACCTAAATATAACATTTCCTTACTTTATATTATTAAGATTTCTTATAAATTTAAGTTTAAATTACTTTAAAGCAATAAATTACGTAATTTAATATTTATACGCTATTTAATTCCTTAAATTATAATTTAAAGGGAATTAAAAAGCTTAAACGCTTTTAATAACTAAAAATGCTTTATTTATTAATAATAAAGAGGATTAAAGATTTTCTTAAAGGTATATAATAACCCTTTTTAAAGGCCCTATATATTAAAAAATATATAAATAAGCAATTATTTCTATTTTAATTATTAAGGTTAAATTATTAACTTTAAAGCTTATAATTAAAGAAATAATAACTTTAAAACGCTTATTTAAAGATATAACCTTAAATTTAAGTAAGCCTTAAATTATTTATTATAATAATTAAATAATAATATGCTTAATTATTAATAAATATAAATAATTAAAAATAAAGCTTAAGTATATAAATATTTAATAAATATAATTAAAATAAGAATTTAAAAAGAATACCTTTAATATTATATACTTTAAAATTAAAAAAATGCTTATAAATAAACTTATTAAAATTTTATTATATGCTTAATTTAAATATTTTAAAGCTTTTTTAAATTTTTAAAATATAAAGAAAGTAATAAAAAGGGATTAATTTATTTATTAATTATTTTTATTATTAAGTTTTTATTAAAAATCTTAAAAACTATACTTTTTAAAAGTTATAATGCAACCCTTATATAAAAACTATTTTATAATTAAAAACTATCTTTTAATTTTTATAATAATATATTAATTAATTTAAAATCTTTTTTTAATTATTATAATAACTTCTTAATTTTTTTAAAAAACTTTCTTAATCTTTAATTAAATTCCTAATTATAATTTTAAATTAAAATTTAATAATATTTATTCCTTAATATTATCCTTAAAATTAAAATACTTAATTATAATAATAATATAATTTTTATATTTTTTTATAATTTTTATATTATTAATAACTTAATTTTAAAGCTTTTAAGCTTTTATATTAATTTTATTATACTACTTTAAAATAATTATAATTTAAGCTTTAAAATACTTTATTATATTTTTATGCTTACTTTTTATAGCTTTTATAAGCTATTATTATAAAGTAAAAATCTTTTAAGTATTAAAAGGAATTATAGGAATATAATTAATATAAATAAAACTAAACTCTTTATACTTATATATATTTAAGGCCTTCTTTTAAATATATTAAGACTTCTTAAATACTAAGAAATTGCTAAATTAAGTATAATAAAGATAAAGTATAAATAATAAAAAAGTTATTAAAAGTAGCTTATAAAAATCGCCTTAAATATAATAATAATAATAATTATCTTTATTATTATAATTTATGCAAAAACTATTATTATAATTATATATAAAACTCTTAATATAAAGAAAATAAGAAATGCAATGCTTATTAATTTTCTTAAGCTTTTTTATATTTTTCTTTTTTTTATGCTTTATTTTAACTTTTTTTTTAAAAGAAAGTTTTATTTTAAGCTTTAAGCTATTTATATATACTTAAAGATTCTTTAAAATTATTTTAAAAATTAATATGCATTTTAAAATTAGTTTTTAAATTAATTAAGAAACTTATTTTAAGCATATTATTTAATAATATTTTAATAAAAGCATTAAAGCTTTTACTATCCTTATTAATAAGCTTTTTATTAATTTAAATATACTTATATTTCTTTTTTTAAATCTTAAAGATATAAAGAAGTAAAATAATTTAAGGCTTAAAAGCTTATTTTTTATTACTTTTAGTTATTTTTTAATATAATTAAAAAAATACTTAAAATTAATAAAAATAAATATTTTTAAATATAAATTTAATTAAAAAGTTTAAAAAAAAGGTTTAATTATTAATTATAAGCTATGCTATAAGGTTATAAGTAATTAAAGTTTAAGTAATAAAGTATATATATTATAAGAAAGGTTAAATAATTAATTACTTAATAAATTATAGCTAATATTTTTAAGTATAAATTAATTATTTAAAAAAGTAAGGCAATTAATAAAATAAAAACTATCTTTTAATTAAGGGGTGTATTATATATACATCCCTAACCTTAATTTATAACTACTTTTTAAAATGCTTAAGTAATTAAATTTCTTTTATTTCCTCCTTTTAAACTACTCTTAGGAGATAAATGCTTTTACAATCATGCTTTCAAACCCCTCACGACACTTATAGCCTTCCACACATTGTGGGGTGGGCTTCGCTAGAGCATCCCGACTTCCAGACCGATGCGCAGGTCGACCAATCACCTTCACTTTTCTGTGCCCTCTTCGTCTTGGACAACAAGAATCTCGATTACGGACTCGGGTTTGGAAACTTAACGACTGGCCACATTGCTTTCAATGTACTATTCTTGAGGGAGCTGCTTGTGGAAGGCTTGGCAAATTGCTAGGAGCGAGTTGGAACTGGCCGGCTCTTTGGCACTGAGGTAAATGCTCTGTATCAGTCTAAAGAGATGGGACAGGTATTTTTACTGTAATTTTATAGCATAGGCAGGTTTAACTCAGGGGACTATACTAATAGTCTGTCATATATGTTATGAATCGGCCCTAGAAAGCTGAAGTCTGCTACCTATCTCGCCTTCCTCCCAGACCAAGACCACACTTAATACTCCACACCACTTGTACGCCGTTTTTGACATTCTTATCCATGTTCCAACTCTCGGAAAGGACACTCATTTCGTTGATGAAACGCAAATAGAGTACACTTGCTCCGGATGCCCATCCAATTCTCTCCAGCCAAGTCGGAAAATACAGTCTTCCAGCCGTCCATATTCCTTCCTAGTCTCCTTTGAAGCAGTCACGTCGGTGTTTTCCGGTGGCAAAAGTTCAATGATGTCACTATCCGCAAGAAGTGCTGCGACATTTGCGATTGTAGTTGGCTTTCTCGGGATCATCTGGCAACCCCCAGCTGAGCGGATGAGATACCAGTTGGCTAGGCAGCACATCAAAGCTGGGATGAGCAATCCCTGGAGAAAGCGAGTTGATAGGCTCCCTTGAACGACCCTGTGCCGGCTCGACGGGATAGAGCCTGTGACGTTGTAGGAGGAAGTTCTGTTGGTTCCCGGCACAATCTCGTATCCATAGCTGCGTAGAACTGTATCGTTGTGATAAAAGTTGAGCCCTCGAATGGCAGCTGTCATCTGAGCGACCAGGACGCAGTGATGGAATTGAACCGCTTCCGCGACCGCCGAGGCTTGAGACCCGTTGCTAATCATATCAAATGGCACCGCATATCGCGATGTCGTGAGCAAGGTGAAGAATTTATCAAAAACCCTGTCTGTCATGTTGGTAGACAGGCCTGGCAAGCTTGGATAGAAGTCAAATCCGAGTGGAGAGCCCCATTGAATGACCACAGCGCTTGTGGAGGATTCATTCGCAATAGGAGGAAATTTCGGGTTGATGGCCAGATCGGAGCCAAATAGAGGGACCGAAACGTCCACAATTTCCATGCTTTCGTTGCACCCAAGTGCTGATACCGACATGACCTTTGGAGATGAGCCATTCTCAACCCCTGGTATCCAGTGACCCCACGCCCAGAGTCGCTCGCTACAACCCCTAGCGTACCTATCCGACGCCGAGCCGACACCGAAGTATGCATGAGAGGGAAGTGGCGACGGGACCGGGCCGTACCTGTAGACTCTCAAGTTCCACGACTTCGTTGTTCCATTCTCGATGCATTGCTCGGGCTCGATCACCACAACCGGCCCAGCTTGCGGCGCCGACGCAAAGTCTATTCGGATTTGAGAGGAATCGTACAAGCGACAGTTCGCAAAAGAAGGGCGCACGGCTGGGAGAGTGACTGAAAACTCCACATTGGAAGAGTCAGGATGCCTTCTGAGAAAGCCTTGATCAACCGTCATGTTCGGTATGATCAGGTGCTCGTATGTGAAAGGCGGGTACGTCAGGTTGCAATTAAGGATCAGCGCAGCTGTCACGAGCGAATAATCCGGGTAGAAGGTATTGCTACTCGCTCCCGATACCCCATACCATACGAAGTCGGCTACATGCAGCTGAGTTGAGATTTTGGTGGCAACGTAGACTCCAGAGAAGAGGCCAGCTGAGAAGATGGTCAAGAAGGATGTAAGCGTGACTGCCAGAGTCGACGCCATAGCTTCGAAACTCCTGCTCCTGAGCTCTTCGTAGAAAAGCAGAAGTGGATGCTTGTTGATCAAGTCTAACCCGACTGATGATTCGAAACTGGATCCTTGGACCAGATGGAGGCTTGGCGCAAGAGCACGCGTGTCGAAATCCACTGAAGAGCAATACATGCTGATGAGGGTAAATATGACAGTAGGCAGTGTAGTCCATAGATAGCTGATGTACTGATTTTCAGATGGCACGTCTGCTAAGCCGTCATTTCGATTCGAGATTCTGAGCGTGACTTCGAGGGCTATGGTGATTCCGACCAGAACCAGCGCTACAATCACGCGAGCCGTGAGAGAGAGACTGGCCGGTTGGAAGACAGAATGCTCTGGCTCTCGCATCTCAAGCACATCATTGGATGCAAGACGCTCCTTAGCGCATATCCCAACACTTCCTTTCTTATTAGCTGGGCAGATTCTGTAGAGCCAGCCGTCAAGAAAGTCTCGCAAAGTAGGATATCCTGTAGACCCCATTCGTTGAAATTTTTCAAGGAGCAAGGGACTCGATGACAAACAAGTTGCAACTCCAATAATGGAATGCGGGTTTTTGGGTAGAATAAAGTCAGTTGACACGTCAAAAATCAAGATGATTCCGACCATTATGACGCAAAATGCAAGGATTCCGGTCATTGAGTTGGCCACAATCTTTTTCACTGGTAACATTTCAGTGTGAAGCTCATAATCTGGTACAGATTAGGTTTGGTGCACATAGCGCTTTACTTACCCAAGAATCGGTTCACTACCTCTACTGCTGTTCCTTCAGAGAGAGTTGAAACTGGTTGCATAAGGGAGGTGTGAGCCAGGAGGGCGGTGTATTGCTGGAAGTAGTTTGAGAAGAAGCTCTTTGCACCTTCTGGGTCCTCAAAGACGGTTGAGAGTGCCGGAGGATTGCCAGAGGCGTTCGCAAGCAAGTATGCGAAGTAGCCGTGTTGGTCGAACTGGACCGTCTCGTTCGAAATGTTCACCGTGGTGATTCCGAGTGGATACATCGGGACTGTATTGTACTGTGACTGCATGATGTCCCAGGGATGCACATTGCTCAGTGCATGCGAATTAGCTGTTGTCGATGGTGATACAAGTCTGTCCGAACCTCGGGCAGAGAAGTCCAGTCGTTGTATTTGGTAAGTGGGCTTGCATATGAACGAATTTGAGCTTAATATCGTGACGTTGGAATGTCCTCCTGGACGCGCCATGACTGTGACAATGATGGCAAGTCTTTGGTCGTCAATGTCGCTCGAGCCACCACATCCCCCTGTTTGTAGAGTAAAAAAATGGTGGCCATCTTTTCCCTGAGCCCAAACTTCGAATGAGCTCACATTGAAGCTACACGAGGGGGACTGGATCGGAAAGTAATTGGAGTAGCTGTCGTTCAGCAACGTGCTGCTGGGTGGCAAAGCAGCGGGCTCGCACTCTAGATTCGCAAGAAACCCATCCAGTGTGGTAGAAATAGTTGAAGGCGTGTCCAGAAAACCCGATTCAATGAGTTGATACGCATATTTCTCAGAAGTTCCCGGAGATAAAGAGGTACCAGATCTCATCATGGAGGAAAAGCTTGCATATGCAAGAGACCCGTGAGCCCTCAGCCCCAATGGACTATTGACAAATTCACTTTTGAGGGTAAGAGGCACATTAGTGCGGACTATTTCTGTGGGGGATAGTGAAAAAAGAGATGTTGATATAACAAGTAGAGCCTTGATGAGGAGAGAGTTGAAGGTGACAGCTGCGACAGTGTGATCCTTATTCCTGATGGCTGATGTGATTGAGAATAGCTGAAATTGCGACAAGTAGTCCAGAATGAGAGATTGCCGAGCTGTTGTAAAGCCTTGAGACATCTTGATCCAAGGCGCTGCAGTCTTCGTCTGGCATTCAAGACGGGTCCAAAATGAAGCAAGCAGTGTCAAGAGAGCTGTTGGACCATATGTCCACAGAGCATGGTGTAGGCCATTGTCCACCCCAGATAGACCATTGTTCCGGTTAGACGATAAAAGCAGAATCTGAATGCCTGCAGCGAGTGTTGAAAATGTTAACAAGAATGCTGCCAGAGCTCTTTTGTTCAGATAGATTGGCTGCCAATGGGACGAAGTTTTGGTGGTGAACTCTTGAGATGTATCCTCAATCCATTGGCTCGATTTGCGGAGGCAGCTCAGATCTTGTTCTGTGCGTACACGTGACTTGGGCGTCAACATCGATAGGTTTGAGTGCCGTCTTGTAGAAAGAGTCATCTCGAGCATTAACTTCGTGATCAAAGGCCAAGAGTCGTTAAACAGGTCTGGGTGGCGAGTCCAATATTCGGTTACAAGTTACAAGGAGGGGGGAATGGCAATGGGACAAAAAGAGAGAAGTAGAATGGGCAACAGAGCAGCTGGCGGGATTATAAAGCTACATACCTAGCCAGGTGGGCAATACGAGGCTCAGGTGGTCTACCACAGAGAAGTGCTGAAACTCATCTTCTGTCCGAGTGGTGACCACACCTGGGCACGCGGCCGTGCAACGCAGTGACTGTGAGAGAAGAGGCGTTGGGGTCGCTGTTCCACGAAGCAATGCCGCTGCATGTGGTGAGCTGTCTTGCTCAAATTAAGATTTGCATTTCATGTAGGCATGGCTGATTTTCCACCACACCCAAGCCGTCATGATGCCTTCAGTGGGGGCAGTTACACATAGGCTATGCGGCTATGCCTGCAAGGTGACAAGCGAGGTGTATTTCGATACATGCAGGATCGCAATTGTCTAACCGATTCCGAAAAGACGTACCAAGCAGACAGGCGAAGCAGTCAGCTCTTAGCAGTGTCATTCATTAAAATACAAGACCCCAAAGCGTACAGCGTATCAAATATAGAACTTGGCGCCCGCGCGCCCGCCCCCACCTCAAGTCACATCTGAAGTCGATCAAATGCAGTTGTGATGGCGTGGGTATCATCAAGGGCAGAATTTTGCCGCGAACTTTTTGGCGTTTTGAAATTCGTCTGGTTATTCTCAACGTCAGGAGACCGATCTACACACCTAGGTACCTAAGCGGTTGGTCAAAGTCTTGTGGGGTCTCGATTCTGATGATGTTCAGTTGGAATGACAAAGGGGCCATGAGTGAGCAATACGAGGACCCTGCATGATTCAAGCGAGCGACTTGGGCATGAAACTGAGCTTTTGAGACCTTGATAATTAGTGGTTGCACAGAATCAATCATAGTCGACGGTTGTCCACCCACCTGGACAATCCCCTGCCGCCTGCCTTGCTTGTGTTCCGAGTAGTCTGATACAGGTAGCCACACTATCACTCACCCAGCTCCCGCTCTGTCCAATCGATCGACTGTGTGCACTCCTCACAGGATTTTGCCCTGCGTCTACATCGCAAAACCAGCTTCTGAGCGCTACTGCCACGCACAACGTCTTGGGTGACCAAGCCACCCACCCAGACGTCAAGGCCTACTCGCAGTCCCAGCCTCATTCCAGCTACTCTTCGAGCCTGTGCTGCGTCACGTTCTCGTGTTTGATGGTCTGGTATCAAAACAATGTGCCGAAATCTACCTAGGGCGGTCATGTCTCAAATACGGGCAGTAGAAATTTAGTACTTTGTATATAGTGGGTTGAAATAGAGACTGGCTATAGGGCTTGTATTAACTTTTTTTGCCCCTGCAGAGGTGTAGGTGCTCAATCGGCATTGCTGCAGACCTTGCATTGTTCCCTGTGAATAAGAGTGCAACATCGCCGGCCCTCACCAAGCCTGCACTGTGAGCCACCAATTTTCGGTACATCCTCAGGGCCTGCAAAGACCATTGCTTGCCTTCTGGACTACCACGATTGCATGCTTTGATCCAAGCGCACATGCGTAGAGACCAATCGAAGCGAAGCGTCTTGAGCTTCGGAGCGGAGCGGACAAGATGAATCCCATCTTGCTGGCTATTTCTATTTCACCGCTCTGTGCTAGCCACCGCGATCAGCTTGTTTTGTCGAGAGCAGATTGAAGTCCGCAATTCTGAACCTAGACTGCTGCGTCAGCGCAGAGCGAATGAAACGTGTATTGTACCTGGACATTTGTCAGAACCCTCAGAACCTGGCACAGGGTCGAAGTGGCGACTAGCCGCTGTTCTCCATCTTTAGCTGCTGTACTGTACAAGCCTAGGTAGGTAAGGCTCATTCTTGAGCAATCAGGCAGCCACAGGACCGACTGAACACTGCCATATCTAGATGCATTTCTCAAGCTCTGATCCGTTCCCTGTGACTCATACAATGGTATTTCAGTCTGCACCACATCATTGCAAAACCTCCATCTCTTGGACAATTCAAGTTCTGTTGCAAGATCACCCCACTATTGCCCTTTACCACGTCTATCCCGTCATGGCACCATTCAAAATCGCCGTGGAAGGTTGTGTAAGTCGTGCCTCGTTCCAGCGAATTCGCCTGCCTCGCAACTGACAACAAAGTGTCACGGCTCGCTGGATTATATCTACACAGCATTGGAGTCCAAGTGCCAATCGCGAGGATGGACAATCAAAGACATCGACTTCTTGATCATCTGTGGAGACTTCCAGGTATTAAGAATACTGAGAATACTGAACATGCTTCCTTCTGCGGCCTGTCTGACAGCCTTGCAGGCAGTCCGTAACGAACGAGACCTGAACTGCATGTCTGTGCCACGCAAATATCGCCAGCTGGGAGACTTTCATCTCTATTACAGCGGCAAGAAGCAGGCGCCAGTGCTGACGCTCGTCATCGGGGGCAACCATGAGGCCTCGAACTACTTTTCCGAGCTGCACTATGGCGGTTGGCTGGCGCCAAATATCTACTATCTGGGGGCTGCTAATGTGCTCCGCTACGGCCCCCTACGCATCGCCGGGCTCTCAGGGATCTTCCACCGTGGGGACTACAACAAACCACACCACGAATGCCTCCCATATGACAGGGACGAAGTTCGCTCTGTTTATCATGTCCGGCATTGCGACATCTCCAAGCTGCTGAATGTGCGCTCGGCCGTCGACATTGGCCTCAGCCATGACTGGCCCCGGAGAGTCGAGTTTCACGGTGACTGCGAGAGGCTCTTTGCCGAGCGGCCCCATTTCCTGAAAAGCGCCAAGACCGATAATCTTGGGAGTGAGCCTGCTGAGCAAGTCCTAAATCATCTACGGCCTCGGTTCTGGTTCTCTGGCCATATGCACGTCAATTTTCGTGCTACAGTAGAGCACAGCGACGAGGCGAAGGTTGACTTCTTCCAGAACTTGACCGTACCCAGAGAACTGCAGAAACAGCTACCAAGGCCTGTTAGGGCTTGGAAGAAACCTCGCAATCGACCACCCGGTATCACGAACACGACCACCCACTTCCTTGCGCTCGACAAGCCAAGTCCTGACGGCGAGTTTCTCGAACTGCTCGAGATCGATTCTTGTTGGGACGTGAACGACCCTTCGGTCGCGCCATACCTGCCGAAGACACCGGGCACCAAATTCTCCCTGCATTACGACGAGGAATGGCTATCGATCCTGCGTGCAACAGACGGAGCCGCAGAGACGAGCACGACGTCCCTTGGTGGGCAAATGGGCCCGACGGACGCCACGCTACAAGACACAGCAGATGAAGCCCAAGTCTATGTCCATGCCAACGTCACTGCAAAGGGTCTTCTAAGAATTCCAGACAATTTCCAGGCGCACGCTCCTGCATACGAGGGGCCAGACACAGTCCACGGTGAAGAGCAGCCTTGCGAGTATCCAAGCCCTCAGGCTGAGGCTCTGTGTGAGCTACTTGGAATTGCCACAAGCAGAGCGGACGAGCCGGCCTCTAGTGACGAATTCGTGGTCTTTGAAGCATAGCCTTGGAACACATGCCTGGCGCTCCCCCTGATTTCTGGTCTGTTCAGGCACCGTGCTGCTTGTCGCAGTCATTGTCTCGCCGTCCGCACATTGGAATGGAGGCCTCGAGTTCTTGGAGCGGTTGGAAACACAACTGATCACGGCGAATATCAGATCACAAAGGGAGGACAACTTGTCTGACTGTCAGCAGAGGCCTTGTGCGAATGAGCGCAGAATCTATACAAATTGCCAACACTCAGAAATAGTGCCTAGGCCAGGAGATAAGGTCAAGTGAAGCGTGGACAGTGTTTCCGAGGTTAGAAGGCCGAAAGGGAAAACTGGGAATCAAGGCATGACTAAATTGATGTTTGTTCACGGAAAGCGTGACTGGAGGCGTGATTTCGCATCACTGGGAAATTTGGTACGGGAACGTTCATGAGAGAAACTGTGAAGTCGGGTCCAGTAACAGCCATGGATCCTCTCAACATCAATAGGGGCAAGAATAATTCAAATGAAAGCCACCGTCCCATGTAACTACCTCATGTGTTCATATTTTAGCAAGTCTCGGGTGCAAATGCGGACCAAACCGTAGCATATTCTCAGAAGGAAGAGGGCTATAAAGCGATTTGACCCGAAGCATCCCTTGACTTCACCCGCAAAGCTGTCATGACCTCAGCCAACTCACATACATACTGGCTCTCAATTGGTTACACAGCATTGTTAATGCTAGCCGTTCACGTGTAGACACAACCGTCTTCCCCGCGTGTGAGACATGACCTCGGCCGTGTCTACAGAGATGGTTAGGTCAGGCAGACTCATGCATAGAATGTGAAACACAAGATCGGTATCAGCAGGCTGCCTCTAATTGCATTGCATTCTGACTGCATAGGTGGTTCAGATGTCACTCCAATCATAACACTCCCGTGGTCCTTTGGTCTTTGCAGGTGGCTGCGCCGATTCCGCAAGCCTCATTATCCCAGTGGAGTGGGGTCGCTTTCTTAATTACACCTCTGATGCTGTCAGGCTGTCAGACTTTTTTTCCCTGAACATCTGGAAAGTCTGTGGAAACCCGTATTGCTCGTCACTACCTAGATATTGTCATAAGCATCGGTTCCATCTGACGTTTACCTGCGTTCTTTCAGCATGGAGCGAGTATCAAAGCAGCTCATCTTGTCAACACAAAGCGGTCGATTAAAGCCGGACGTTCGGCTTGGAGTCGCAGTCTCGGAGTTCGCCGAAACCTTAGACGAGGATCGAAAGAGAGAATTCCAAAAGATGCAAACGGCCGGAACACAACTGTCTGGACGAGACGCCATACGCGTGACGGAAGAGTTAAACCGAGACAGCGAATGGAGGCATTCTGCCTGTCGACCGTATGGTACCAAGTGTGGGAAATTCTTGGACCGCCTTCAGACACTCGCGAATATAGGGGATGTCATGATTGGAGGCTCTCAGAATGTAATCGCCACGAGTATTTGGTGTGCTGTTAGGCTGGCGTTGCAGGTTCGCAAACACTCAAGATCGCACCGCCTACGTTTCGCATGTAGCTGACTTTCAGACCGCTACCAACTATCGCGGCTACTTCGAGAAGCTCTCCAGTCTGTTCATGAAGCTCGGGACTTCGTGGGACCTCCATAACGACTTCGCCCAAATTTTCCCTCAGTCTCGGGCTCTTCAGACCTTTCTGTGCGAGTACCTAATAGTCCTCATGCGACTGTGCCGAAAGACCGTTGCTTTCAGCAACAAATCTTTCGCGGGCCAAGTCTGGTCATCACTTGGCGCATCCTTTGACTCCGAGTTCAAACCGCTGCAGGAAGAGATGGATAAGTGGGGCTTGTTGATTCAACACAAGACTCAGCAACTCGCAACGGCGTGCGTGGTTGATACCGAGATGTTCAGACGAAGAGACTACAAACAGCGCATACTACGTCTCCTGTCGCCGAACCAATCCCAACACATTACTGCTTGGAGACGGCACAGGAAGAAGGGAGACTGCAAGTGGATATACGAGACAGCGGCCTACAAATCTTGGATAGCGGAGGACGAGTCTTCAACTTTGTGTATCAGCGGCAAACTTGGCAGCGGCAAGACAGTCATGATGGCAAACATTGTGGCTCAGATCAGCATGCACCAGACATGCGCCTTCTTCTTTTGCACATTCAAGGATCAAGAGAGCTTGAAGGCTAGAGCTGTACTGGGAAGCATAGCATTCCACCAGCTGGATAGCATACCAGGCGACGACTCGACTTGGGACGACCTCTCAAGACAAGGGGACACTTCGTCGCGACTGCTAACAAGTGCGGGAATCATCGACCTCTTGATGGACGTCCCTCCAGAGAACGCAAAATATGTGTTAGTTTTCGACGGGCTCGAGGACTGTCCTAGCGACGAGATCACCGAGGTCATTTATGGCCTTCGCCGCTTAATGGCATGTCGGATAATCCTTCTTTGTTACTCAGCGCGCTCAGGATCGATGTTCCAACGGCTTACAGTCCAACAGTTGGCCCCAAAGTTTTCTGTGAGCCTTGATGATGAAATGCATGATGGAGAGATCAAGGCCTACATTACCGAGGAGATAGCCCGACGGAAACAGACAAGCCAGCCGGGACTGTTCAGCGACGAACTTGTAGAACTGGTCAAGCAACAATTACTGGCTGGTGCGCAAGGAATGTGAGAAGAAGCATGCATTCAATTATCAACTTTCCGATACATGTACTGACTTGTAGTCTTCTAGGTATTTGTGGGTGTCCCTGCAGCTGGACTCGATCTTCCCCAGTCAGTCAAGAACAGTCGTCACTTACGAACAAATTCTAAACTTGATCAACAATCTTCCAAAGGACTTACCCGAAACTTTCGAGAGGGCTTTAGAAGAGATAATTGATGACCGGTACGGAGACTCAATCATGAAACTTGTTATGGCTGCTCCGTCGCCGCTTTCTCTCGACGAGCTGAGGGTTGCCCTTGCTGTGGTCCCTGGAGATCCGGTCTGGTACCCATCCAAAGTGCCAACAAATGCCTCTCAGCTTATCTCACTCTGCGGCGGTAATCTGTTAGAACTGGACGAAGAAGATGAGAAAGTTCGGTTCATACATTACAGCGTAGTGAGCCATTTGTTACAGCCTACCAAGAACCCTCGCACTATGCTGTACCACTTCACCTTGCAAGAAGCCATGGCTCAGTCCGGCGCGATCTGTGTCACGTTCCTGAATATGCCACTTTTCGAATCAGCTGTTACCACGACGAGGAAGATCGATGGGGAGAGATTGGCTGAGGAGGTGATAGGGACCGCGACTCACGCGCACCCCCTTCTTGGTCATCTCGCGCACCTGTTCAAGAAGACGGATCGTCGCCATTCTAGGTCAACAGATTTCGACATTGGACGCTTGCTAGCAGAGATACAAGCTGCCAGGATGTTGAGTTTTGACCCACACTGCTTCCAAAAGTACGCTGTGTCGAACTGGCTCACACACTGCGGAGCTTTTCAGAAGAAAACCCCGTTGTGCGTGCAGATCTGGCACCTTTGGATGAGGCTGCTGCGTGGCAACATACAGGTGGCGAAGCCCCCTTTTCAGAGCCCCGTGGAAGATTCTTGGCCAGCACTGTCTTGGGCGCTGAAGCATCATTGCGAAGTCTTAGTTTGCGCAATCATCGAAGAGCCAACTACAGAGCCAACTGACGGTGAGAGAATATCTCAAGGAATTATCGAGCTGGCATCGCCACCCCTTGCCAGTCGGTGGGATCGCTCCACCCTGGGCCTTATTCTGGTACACCTATTCCAGCTCGCTACCAATATCCTGACTGCTAGTCCCAAATTTGAGGGTGATCACAGTATCGTGGACCAAACCAATGCGTCCGGGTCGAAAGTGCCTTGGAAGTTACTATACCAATCATTACAGCGACTTTTGGACTTGGGAGCCGACCACACGATGCCCCATTCTAGGAACGGAAACAACGTTCTCCAGATGCTACTTGCAACACTTGGCTGCATCTCCGAGACAACGTTCGACGGGCGCCAGTTGTCTAATCTCCTGACGCGGATATTGATTCGCGACAATACGCCGCCTTTGCTTCGGTCTGCTTGGGTACCATATGCGCTTCGAAGAATTCTTGAAAATGACAATACTCAGATCTTCTTGAGACTCCTGTCACACAGCCCTGAACTACATTTAGGACCCGAGGAGGATTCCCTTATCGGTGTTGCCGTCTTCAAAGGCAATCTCGAAGCAGTCAGAGTGTTGGTCGAAGCTTGCCCCTTAATTGGTTCAGGCCCTGGCTACGCGTCGTACATAAATGGCCAACCAGCTATACAGCTTGCACTTGAGAGACAGGACAAAAAGATAGTAACACTTCTCGCCCGCCGCGGCGGTCTAAGGGACTCCTACGGTAAAAACAAATTTTCAGTGCCTCTCCTACAAATAGCACTGGAACGGCTGAGCACGGAGTGGGTCGAACTATTGCTTCAGCTAGGGGCTGACCCAAACCTTGGCTATCAGGCGCCTGTTGGAGAACGGCTTCAACATACGGAGTTTCGCTATCATCTTCAAGTTGCCGCTGAGAGAAATCAAACACTGAAGTTCTTAACTCTCGTTCGCGGTGGGGCAGATCCTTTCCTCCCTGACTTTCCCACCATCAGCAACACTATTCTTCACCACGAAAACCGAGTTCTCATGGCCAGACTGGAGGAAATAGACTTTTTTGAGCCGATTAAACGCCTGACACTCTTGGGTGTCAAGTCTCGGGATGGACTGCCTCCTCCAAGCGCGCTCCTTGCAGCATGCAAGATGCTTGCCCTGGAGGTGAATGAAGACCAGACTCTAAGAAACTTTGGTGTGGTCCAGTCACATGTTTCTGGCAAGCAGGTAGATGGGCAAGAATTGAAACTTATTCTTCTGGATCTGGCCAAGACAACTGAAGCTGATCGGCTCAAACTTCGATGTCAAGAGGGGAACACGGCACTGCACTATCTCACAGGTGGCATGGACAGGTTTCATCGCGAGGCACTTGCTGTTGCATCTCACCTTCTGGATCGGAGATTGACACGCCCTGATATGGTCCAGCGGAACTGGTGTGGTCAAACGCCATTGCACCGTGCTATTGAAAATGGGGCCAGGAACGATTGGCGTCTACCGTACATCGATAGCGCTTCGTTCCTTTTGTCCCACCCTCGAACAAAGAACTTATTAAAGGAAAGGGTCTTCAACGAAAATGATGGAAGTATTCTGGGATATGCTATCTCGAAAAGCGCACCAATTGATCAAGTGATCAGAGTGCTTCTCGACGCGAGATTCAATCCGAACGGGACCCTGCGAGGAGCCACGCCCCTGGAGATCGCAGTGAAAATGCCGTCGTTCCACTACGCATCCGCTGTAACAGCTCTTCTTTTAGCGTATGGCGCTGATCCATCAGTGAGTTGCTCAAATGGAGGTTTGCTGTTGGATGTTGTGACCACAGAAAGGCGAGATTGGCTGCAAGGTTTGCTTCAGGAGCATCGTCCGGGTCAAGCAAACATGACCCAGCCCTATCCCTCCATTTCGACGGCCTCCGAAGCGTGTGAATGGATAGTGGAAGGAAGGTACGAGTTGGAGGATACAAATACTTCAACAGTAATGGATGATGCAGCAGAAAGATTGAGGACAAGCACGCCTGATATTCTGACATGCACGCCTGATCACCAGACCCGAACACGCGGTTCATCCCCAAAGTTCAGCCCAGAATGTTAAGATTCCACCACGAGAGCTATATAGGACGGGTGGTGCGGACACGCCACTCGGGGCAACTCAGCAGAGCATACGAGCCTCAACTATGTCAATACTATCGGTCAATGATCAATATCGAAATGCAAACGTTCCGAGAACATGAGTGGTCACGTCTTATCAAAAAAAACAAAAAAAAACGCAAGGAAGTGACGTTGAATCTGTATCAACAAAGGCATGGTAGACGCGGTGCTCGACAGATGCGCGGCGTGCATACGGCGCTTAAATGGATCTCTTCTGCGATGGTCATTGCTGAAGCAGTTCGCCGTCTTGATTATCCCTTGATCGTAGTATGTAACCCGACTATTGGGATACCAACACTAGCAGTACTAACAACTGAGTATCTTTCATACACAAAAGCGTCTAATAGCTGTTCCACCAATCATACGATCATCATACTTGGAATCTATATGAATAGGGTTGTATTCCCTGACGGGATGCCATAGCGGCTCTGCGTAACAGAATACCTATTCTGCTGCACAGTTATTCATTTTACGAGTGCAGCATGTACGCTCACCTCGTCGGGCCATTCGATTTATCGTGTCCGCTACCGACAGCCCAATGCAACCTGTACCCACATCCTGCTGAGGGACGGCGTGCTTACGGACTTATTCCCGTGAGCTATGCTGCATATGGCATGATTTTCATGTTTGCTGCATGATGCTACCGTACGATGGGGTTCTGTCAACATATAGTCTCACTGCTTTGAAATTACTCTACAAATTCCATATCCTGTAACCTTGTTCGAATTCTGGGGTCTGACTTTGCGAATTGCCTTTTGTACAGGCCATATCTGGTTCCCTACGCGAGGAAGAGGCTGCCCGTATAACCGCTTAGCAAAACAGCACTCCCCGCAATAAGCTTGGGCGATTGCCTACACCGCCATGGATCATGAGAAGGGAAAGGACGTTGCAGACCAGGCGGACAACAGTGACAATATGGTGACAAAGGAAACTCCCGATAGTGAAGCTCAAGATGCCATTGTTTATCCCAACGTCTTCTGGACCTCATGTGTATCTTTCGGGGTGGCCTTGGGGCTCTTTCTGGTAATACGCCGCGTCGAGTTCCATGACCTGCCTCGACCTACATTGCTAACAACACCTTCTCAGGTCGGCCTAGACATGGTAAGTACACCAAAGCATCATACGCTGGATGTATTTGCTCGATTCTTGGCTTCAAACCTCAGGACATGTGCCTCACAGCAACTCCTAACGGCTCTAGACAATCATCGCGACCGCTATCCCCAAGATCACTGAAGACTTTCCTGGTGTTAACCTCATCGGCTGGTACTCATCAGCTTTTTTCATCTCTCTGGCTTGCACACAGCCGTTCTGGTATGGACCCGTCTGCTTCCACTATATTCTTTTTATTTCTTTTCCTTTCACCAATCTAGAGCTTGTGCTGTGCTGACTGTGATACTACAGGGGCAAGGTATATCCCTTCTTCTCCATCAAATACACCTTCCTCGTGGTTGTCTTCATCTTCGGCGTCGGAGCCCTGATCGGCGGTAAGCAGCCCCAACGCATGCCGTGAGTCATCTCCCAATGCTAGGTAACCCACTGACTGTACTACAGGCCTCGCACCCAACAGCACAGTCCTCATCCTCGGCCGCGCCATCCTAGGCGCGAGCGCCGCCGGGATCGCAGCAGGCGGATACGCCATCCTGGGCGTCACCGTCCGCCCGGGGCTCCGGCCCGTGTTCACGGGCCTCATCAACACGGTGTATAGCCTCGCCAGCGTCCTGGGCCCCATCCTTGGCGGCGCCTTCACCCAGCGGTCGACATGGCGCTGGTGTTTCTATGTGAACCTGCCCGTCGCCGCCGTCTCGGCCGCCGTGATTCTGTTCCTGTTCCACCCGCCCCCGCCATCCACCAGCGCACGCCGCTCGAGGGCGCTGCCGCTCAGGGAGAAGCTGTCCCACTTGGACCCTGTTGGCATCCTCCTCGTGCTCGCAGCTCTGGTCTGCTTCACGCGTGCGGTCGAGGTGGCTGGCATCCATCGGGCGTGGGGCTCAGCCGAGGTCATCGGCCTCTTCGTTGGCTCGGGCGTCGCTCTGATAGCCTTCGTGGTCTCCCAGTACCTCCAAGGTGATCACGCCCTCCTCGTGTCGAGACTCGTGAGGCAGCGCGGCGTATACATGAGCATGGGCTTTGGGTTCTTCCACGAGGGTGCCTTCTGCCTCCTGCTTTATTACATCCCAATCTACTTTTAGGTCGTCGCCGGCATCTCGCCATCTGAGGCAGGCTTCCGCAATCTCCCCATGCTCATCAGCTGCGGTATTGGATCAGCCTTGACTGGCTTCCTGGTGTCTCGGTTCGGCTACTATACTCCGTTCATGGTCTGGGCCAGCGCCGGCGGGTGCATCGGGGCCGGTCTTGTTTATACTCTCGACGAGACCTCGCCCCCGGCAAAGTGGATAGGCTACCAGGTTCTGGCTGCTCGCGATGGGAAGCGGGCTGCCGCTTGGCATCATCGCGGGCCAGGCGGATGCGGAGCCCGAGGACCCTCCCTTCCAGGACAGCCATGCTTCTCTGTAAGTATCCTTTCTGCTCTTGCCATTCTTGATGATTTCCACCGAACAGAAGACATCGGTCGCTGATACGGTCTCTGAGCGCTCCCCAGTCTCCTTCTGCGTTGGCACCTCAACCTCTTTGGGAACCGGGCAGTCAGTCTTCAGCAACCTGCTTCTCAACAAGCTTCCTGCTCTTGCCCCTGGCGTCGATCCCCTCACTGTCATCAACACGGGTGCCACGGACATTCGCAATGTCTTCCCTGCCGACGCCGTGCCAGGTATCATACAGGCATATCTGGATGCCATGCGCGCCGTCTTTGCCGTGGTCATAGCCTACGCCGGCGTTGCGGTCATGTTCGCTGCTGGTAGCAAGTGGCAACGATTGAATCTCAAGGGATGAGCTGGACTGAGAACAACTCCCCGGGAATGAACACTTTATGGAAAACTGTGACGACTTCGTGCAGGACGACAACTTCTCTCGCTTGTCCACTCAGAGCAGGTAGTCTTTTGGCTAGTAAGTCGAGCGCCAATACACCAGCCCACTCGCCAAACATACAATGACAAGGGTTATAAAATCAATGATCATAAAGGTCATATCTGTTGTGAAACCTCTGGACCTGGCTCGGTGAATGTGAACGGTACTGGTAACCCCGCAATGATCAGCCAACACAGTATAGGGTGAGGTTGCTTGTCTCCCTGCCAGGAGGACACCCTCCATCTACTATGAGGCTGCCACGGCTTCAACATGCTCCTCAAAGGTTTGCAAACCATAAACATCGGAAACGATCACAGGGACATGGTAACGGACGGAGCATCTGGCGCCCAGAGGCGCTCGGGGTATCTCATGAAATTGTTTGTCGTCAAAGAAGATGAGTCTTCTTAGGCCCGCTCATTGGAAGCTGACAGGCTTCTTGGTACGCCGAGATGACCGTCGCATTGGCGTCGGTGCCTCGGGTACTGGTTCTGGTTCAGGTACTGGTGCTGGAGCTGGCTCCTCCTCCTTTTCCTCCGCAACAGCTGCGCCGCCATCCTCAGCATCCTCAACCTCTGGGGCGGCATCGTCCTCGTCTGCATCGTCCTCGCCATCGTCCTCGTGCGGAGCCTCCGAGTCCGAGTCATCGGATATCTCGGGCTCGCTTGCGTTGCTGAATCCATCAAACTCGTCCTCATCAACATTCTCTGGGCTGCTGTCCTCTTCCACAGCTTTTTCTGCCTCCTCTGCGGCGTCCCTCTTGCGCTTCTTGAGCACCTTCTCTGGCGCCTTTTGTTCACTCTCGGCGGTGGCATCCTCTTTGTCGTCTCCCGCGACTGGTGGGGGTACAAACCACGGTATCCGTCCGCGCACTGATGCATGTTAGCATTTTGAACTCCTGGCAACAAGGCTTCCCGGGTCACTTACTGAAATCGTTGAGCACCATCTTTGCTACACCGTCAACATCAGGCTCGCCGCCTTTCAACAGTCGCCCTGCTTTCCTGGCGAGAAGCTCTAGGAACAGGATGTGGTCATCATTCCAGTCACTGAGATCATATGTCTTTGCCATATGGTGCTTCTTCACCCGCTTCAGCACGGCTGGTATGTACTGCTCAGGATGCTCTACTTTTTCGACCCGCACCACGCCTCGTAGGAGCAACTCCGTCGGGGCATCGTGATGGTTTTGTGGCACAATACCAGGACAATCAATCAGGTATATCCTCTTCATCAATGTGACATACTGCCACACTTTCGTCTCCCCAGGAATCGGAGCCACAGTGGCGACCTTCTTGCCTCTGAGGGTGTTGATGATCGATGACTTTCCGGTGTTGGGGTAACCGATCAAGCCTACTGAAACTTGTTTCCTATCGGCGTGGAGTTTGGAAAATTGTCGGAGGAGGTTGATTAATGATCCCTTGCCAAATGGATTGTTTATCGAGGCCCGGAAGGCGGCTGTGGGGTAGTCCTTTTGAAGATGCTTTACCCATTGAGCCTGTTTGTCGTCAGTCAGCAACAGCGTCAGACAAACATTGATTGACAGTAGTCAAAAGAGCAATTTATGCTCGTATATATGTGCGCCTCTCGTACTAAGAAATCCACGGCGAAGGTGCTCGAAAGAACGAGGTAGACTTCAACTCAAAATGGAGGCAAATCCAATCTCACGATGGTCAACCAAAACGGAGACCATCTGTCCTCTCCGGCCAAAGCCAGAGATTCTAAGATGTGGAAGTTGCTCTCCCCAAGCCGTAACGGCCAAATTCCATTGTTTGGCATGAAGACACCGGAAAATGACCTGACTAGGGTTGGGGGACCCCGAAGGGCCTTATAAAAGAAAAAGTTAGAACTTACAGCAACCTTAGTTGGTACCAAATCACACTTGTTCAGGATGAACACGAGATGCTTGTGTGGTGCTTCCTCCTTGAGATACTTCTCAACAGACCGACAACGTGTTCCCAGCGGGTCGCGGGCGTCTAGGATGTGGAGAATAACGTCCGAGGAGTCAATGACCTTGTCTGTAAGAAATTTGTTAGTATCGCCCCAGAAATGAAAATAGAGGAGGAAGAGACGTACAAAGCTCGTTCCAGATACGCTTGGACTGGCCCTTGTCGAAGATAGGCTCGTTCGCCGTCGTCAACACAGCCGCAGCCTCTTGATCTCGACGAAGATCGCCAGCCTCAGCCTGCTCGGCCTCCAGCTCGCCACTCAGCAACCTAGCCTGTTCCAGCTGCTCGTTGTAGGTTTCAAGGCTCTTGACCGAGTCGCCCGCCAGTTCGTCGATGTTGCTGACGCTCAGCTTCACCCTCTTCCGTGATGACTTGGGCCCAAACACTTCGGCAAACGGTGATGTCTCGACAGTCATCTTTGCCTGGTGCTCTTTCAGGCCGTTCACCCTGTTATCCTGGCCGTCGCGGATCAAACTCAGGGGCAACTTGTTGCTCTTAAGCAGGACCGTGTAGGGATCCTTCTCCTTCTGTGTGACGGCTTCTCGGAAGGCACTGAGGGACTCCTGGCTGATGACTCGGCTGTTGGAGAACCATTTCCTATTCGGCTCGACTCGGGCGCTGGGGACATCGCGGCTCTGGTAGCTGGCGGCTTTTGTGATCTCTCCATCTGCGTTTCGCTGTGCCTTGCCCTCCTTGAAGATGTTGAGTTGCTTGACCTTCTTTGCGTCGCGGTAGAAGTTTTCGCTGGCCACGACGTTAGTCAAAACAGGTGAAGGAGTGCGGAGGAAACTGGACAAGAGAAGGCTTACCCTTTGATTTTGAACGTCGCACCACCTGTACTCGTACCATCCCGAGCACGACGGCTCTTCTCTTTCTTGAAGTTACCCATTCTCGCCTCTAGCTGCACTGGCAGCCTCAAAATCCAATAGGGAGACAGCCGGGTCGAGGTCGGTCGTTGATCAGAAACACAGATGGGCTATCGACCTTTCCAATCCTCTCCACCTCGTTTGAGCGCTCGATAGTTGTAGGGAGGCAACCGCCAGCAGGTAGGAGAAGATGTGGCGGTGCGATGAATATCGCTGGAAAGAGGAGGAGCGGGAGAGAAAAAAAAAGTTCAAAGCCTGCAGGGTCTAGTTGGGGACGGTGGGGCGCGGCTGGCAGAGCTCCAGTCCCAAAGTTTTAGTGGGTCCGTGTTGGACAAGGCTTGCTCGGCTTGCTGGCAGGCTTGTTCGCTCATTCTAGCCGCTGCAGAGCCGGAGCTGCATAAACCCGACTCCGCCTGGGAAAATCTGACTGGTCTGCTTGGTATACGATCCAAACATCATCGCCATTGCACGCTCACTTGGTCGATCGGCGGGGGCAGGACGGCAGCAAAATCTCGACCTTTTCCTCGGCTCCGGACTTGAACGGCCAATTCGTCTCACGTCGAAAAGGGAGAGAAACAACAGACCTCAAACATGGCGCCAACATTACCAAGAGCGCCACTGCGCTCGCTATCGGCCACCATCCTCCCATCCGCGACCTCGACGCCATCCACCACCTCCACCGCCTTCCGAACATTCAGCACAACAGCCTCCCGCCTCGAGGTCGACATCCCCCCCGAGTCCCCGCGCTTCATCAACCTCCCCGAGCTGCCGCAATCCTCCGAGGATAAGCTCCCACCAGTGAAGGGCGTGCTGCCCGTGCCGCGCGAGATCTTCCACCGGCGCAACAACGGCAGCCACAAGATCCAGGCCGGCTTCGTGGACGAGACGGCACCACGGTCACGGGCCGAGGCAGCAGGCGAGGCGCCCAAGTCGGACCGGGCGGCGTGGAAGCGGGCGCTGGCCGAGTCGCGGCGGAAGGCGCTCGCGGCGGGCATAGACAAGCTGTGGGCGCGCAAGAACGCGCGCGAGGGGCGGGCCAAGCACCGCGCCGAGTCCCACCGGCAGCGCAACCTGAGCGCCGCCAACGCGCCCGAGGGGCTGGACGACGTCTTCACGCGCGGGACGGTCACGCAGGCGACGCTGGACACGAGGGTGATACGCGACCCGGAGTACAAGGAGCGGCAGCTCAAGTCGCAGGCGCGCACGGCGGCGCTGCAGAGGGAGCGGTCCGAGGCCCGCAAGGACGCCATCCAGCGGCTGTACGTCGAGGCGGGCAGCTTCATCGTCAGCGAGGTTGAGCTCGCCAAGAGGGTCGAGGAGGTCTTTTCCGAGAATTTCTGGAAAGGGCGCGGCCTGTGGCAGGGCAAGATCGCCGAGAACGTGTGGGACGCTCATGGTCATCCTATTCCCGTCAGGGCCATGTTTGCAGGCATGAAAGGGACGACCACCAAGGCCGTTGAGAAGTACGAGAGTGCGGTCAGCTTCACTACGCAGCGCCAGAAGATGGTTTCCGGAGAGCTGACTGGTGGCGCTGTGTCTGCTGGAGGCGACAAGAAGCGGTGAACACATAGGCACAGGAAAAGGTGAATCACACCCAGCAGGTGGGCTTGTACAATAGCAATGCATCCAAGATCTTTGAACATCCTGGTCAGTAACTTGGTGTACATGGGAAAGGTATCGAGTGTATCCCGAGGTCCCGGCTACTAGCTACAAATCGACAAATGCCCCCTAACGCCCCTGATCCGATGCAGTGTGAAAAGACAAAGATGGGCACAAGTGGCCCAGGCTCGTTTCTAAGGGAGTTAAGCATGGTCTAGATAGCGATTGATCTTCAGACAGATTCAGCGACCGTGTGCAATGAACGCTCGTTTGATGGCTCAACACGCTTGAATCCCAGTCAGTCCTCCTCTTCACCTGCTGTCCGACAGCGATCACCGCCGCTCAACCAGCAGGACGTGCATGGCGGCGTACGCCAGCACAACAAAGCCAGCTGCATAAGCTCCCAAGCAAATAACGTCCTTCCACATGGCGCCGTTGTCGAAGCCGAATGAGCTAAGAATGGCAGCGCCAGGTACTGTGATATCCAAGCCGTACTTTTTGTCAACGAGCGTCAGTTTGCTAACCTCGTTAACAATGAGCGACTCAAAGGCATAGTGGAAAATCGACAACCACTGAAGCCATTTGGCCCCATCTGGAATCTTTTCTGCGTTCAGAAGGAGACCCGCGAACAACAAACTGAAGAGCATAACCAAACTGCCGATCAGATTTGCCACGCCATTGTCCTTGCACACAATACCAATGAAGAGACAAATGGCGGCGGCGGCGAGGTTGAAAAGTACCAACACGAGGAGGAAAAAGAAGAAGTGGGCCGCATCTGCCTTCAGCCCCGTCATTGGATAAATGATTATGCCCATCAGAATTGGCGGGATGATTCGTAGCGGAACGATGTCGAAGAGTACTTTAGAGGCGAAGTAGGTGACAGGAGAGTAGTAGCCATTCGCGCGTTCTCTTGTGAACAGCAGCCTCTCAGAGGAGAAGACGTTCAAGCTGGTCAAAGTGCTGAATCCAAAGAGGGCCAGCACGAAGAAGAAGAGACCAAGCCGGTTCTGGAATCCGGGGATGTCCGAGGTCAAGCCATAGAAGAGATACCCAGAGAGGACTCCGAGGAGAATGGCAATGGCGTAGTGTGTCAGCATCAGCAGTGGGTTGCGGTACAGGTTTTTCCACGTCCGCTGGGAGAGGATGATAAATTGTCGGCCGTAGCCGATGCGCGCATATCCTTTGCCAACAACGCTGATGTAAATGTTCGAGCCGCTGACACTGTATCCGTTGGAGTTGCGGCCGTTGGCATTTTCGGCGCTGGCAACTGCTTGCTGGATCTCATCATGTGTCGTGCCGGAAATGTCAGACTCTGCGAATGAGTTCACTAAGATGTCAAGATTTGTGCCGCCACTGGCCGCAGGTGGGAGATCATGTGGGTCCTCGATGATCTGGGGAGGAACATGACCAGGAGGCTGCTTGTGAAGCTTGTAAGCTCCCGTTTCCCCTTCTCCATCGGAAGAAGCTGCAGTCTCGGCGTTGGTTTGGCGGCGCGTGAAAAGCTCTCGCTCCAGCCTAGCCTTGACCGAATCCCGACGCTTGTTCTTGGGTCGAGAGGATGAGGCTTCGGCGCCACTATCTTCTCCGATGCTGACATTCGACACACTCGCGATAGACTTAACACCTCTAACGCTGCTCGGCCCGACACTGGCGGCATCAACCGATATGGTGCCATCATCAAAGGTTGCCGATGCGCCGGCGTGCATAGTCAGGTCAACCAGGTAGTCGGCGATGTTGAAACCAGGGGGGCAAGGATATCCAATATGGTCGAAGTAGTCCTGGCACTGAGCAAATGGACCGGAGTAGACTGGTCTGCCTTGGGCGAGGAGAATGAGTCTGTCAAAGAGGGCGACAATGTTTGAACGTGGCTGGTGGATAGTGAAGATGACGGTTCGCTTGAAGTCTTTCGCAAGGGTCACAAGACATTCGACAACGTTGAAGGCATTATATGCATCCAGGCCACTGGTAGGCTCGTCGAGGAAGAGGATGGAGGGGCTAGTGACCAGTTCACACGCGATACCGACACGGCGCTTCTCGCCACCGGAAATTCCACGGCCTTTGCCTTCCTCGGAGCCGATGAGGGAGTCCTTGATATGGTAGATTCCAAGTTGTTTCTCGACATCGGTGACCCTCTGCTCTTTTGCGGCTCGGGTCATGTCGCGGGGCAGTCGCAGCAAGGCGCTGTTCAGAATGGTTTCGTGGACTGTGAGGGTTGGCAGCATCGTATCTTCCTGGTCGACAAATCCAACCACAGCCTTGAAATCCGCATCCGTGACCTTCTCGCCGTTGACGTAGAAATCACCACTGACGGTTCCTCGCTTGTTCTTGCGTGCAAGAATGTCCAAAAAGGTCGTCTTGCCAGCCCCAGAAGCGCCCATGATAGCAGTGAGCTCCCCGGGATACGCCACGCCCCGAATCGAATTCAAGATTTGCTTGCTGTTGAGGCTGTATGACACTTCCTCGAACTGCAGCGATGCGGGCTTGTGGTCTGCCATGAGCTTGAGTCCTTCGTCATCAGAGTCGTCGAGATGAATGGGGCCGTATTTGAAAGAGCGCCGGGACAGATACCAGGTGAGGACGATGACCGCAACGAGGAATAAAGCACAGCCGGCGATGACACCAGCGATGAGAGGTGTGTTGATCTTGGGAACGGGCGGCTTGTAGTCGGGCAGCTCGGAGAAGTGCACGCATTCGCCAGAACGACATGTCAAGGTGATGCTGGAGTCCCCGAACATCTGGTTGATCAGATCGTTCATGGCAGGCTCCTCAAAACTGCACTTGTTTGCGCCGCCTTTGATCTGTGTGCACTTAAATGCGCCGGGGCCCTTGATCTCCTCGTCTAGGAAGTCAGTGATGTCAACACTGCCGTTCTCGCCACAGAGCATCCGGTCAGGTATACATGAGCATTCGACGGTCTTGCAGTTGTACGAGGTCTTGTTCTGGGAGGAGTCGCTGAAATCGTAGGCCGAATCGCACTGGCCCAAAGTACAATAGAAAGACTCCCTCTTGGCGACCCAGAACTGGAAGTCGCACCTAGCCTCTGAGGCATCACAGGTAAAGGTGACTTGAGGTACTTGTTCCCCCAGGAGATCGCGAATCTTCTCGTTTGTGACATCACACATCTGGTAGTTGTTCTTCAAGACGTTGCCCAGCTGGTAGCAGACGCCTCCCTCTTCCGTCTCCATCAGGGCATTACATGCCCTATCGTCGGTACACAGGTTGCAGTTGAGGCCGTCCCAGCCGTCGTCGCATTCGCAGGTATCACCATGACGTATTTGTCGGTGCTCGTTGCCTCGGGCCAAGGAACCGCAGACTGCGCGTGTAAGGGTCAGCTACCACGGATCGCAAGTCGTTTGTGAAATGCTGGGGCCAGGGAAACACACGAGGCTCGATACAGTCCACGCCACCGAAGCCGGCGGGGCAGGAACACTGTCCGTTGAACGAGTTACAGTCGGCATACTGGGCACAGCTGAAGGCTGGAAGGAGGCAGTTGAAGCTAGAGAGGCCGTAACATCAGCACCTGGCTGCAAAGCCTCAAAGAGCTGGACGAGGACAAGAACAACAGACCATGGTGGGCAGTCCTTGGGCCTGTCATCCATCAGGGCAAGTTGCGCGCGGAGAGCATCGATGCCTGGGGATGACGACGAGAAGTTCTGGGCGAGGGCGGCGCTCGACAGCGCAAGCGCCCCGAAAACGACGGCGCGGGCTGTCCGCGATGCCATGGCGAAGGGCACAAGACGGCGCTGGGTCGGCTCTGCTGAAGAAAGTCTCTGCGTCCTGCGAGAGAGTGGAGGAAACGGTGATGCGTGGTTTCGAGGAAGAGCTCTGGGGTGGCAGGTGGTCAGGTCAGAGGAGCAGCGATAAGGTGCCTGGTCATACATGGACTGTACCTAGTCTACCTGCTCGGAGAGGTAAGCCGCGGCTGGTGACATGTACCTACCTGTTTCTGCTTCGGCGCAGCTCCTACAGCGCAGCTCCTTGGCGCCGGCTAAACTTCCCTACTTAGCTCCTGCTGGCCCCAGGTACCCAGGTGCTGGGCACCCCCCGTAACGTCTCGCACCTGCCCCGTGCTCCTGAATCGGTCAATTCCATCGGTTGGGAAGCTGCCCCGACTTCCCGGAATCCTGCTGACGCAATGCGGAGGAGGAAAAGCTCCACTCGCAGGAGGGTGTCGCGACTGTATCTATTTGGTAGACAACGTTGCATGTAATCTGACATTGTTCTTTCGCATATGCGCACTTCTCGAAAGGCTGTGCAGACTTTTGGGGATCAAGACACAATACATGGAGCACCTTGCTGGACAGTCTGTGACGTACTCGGTAGTATCGAGCCGAGCTTCAAGGTTGGAAGTGTATCTTCACGGCGGCAAGGCTTGGGATGAAAATGAGACTGGTTGGAGCTACGGCTGGCTTCCCCTCTCTGCGTCGGTCTCCAATCGTGGGAGACGACTTCTACTTTACAGCACCCATGTATATGACAGCTCCATGCGGACTTTGGCAGATAACAAGCCTTACTAGTAGTCTACTTTCAATTATCAAAAAATTACCAACTACCAGTATCGACTAGCAAGTACGCGCAGGCGAGTGTGCGCGCATTTGCGCACGCAGCAGCATTAGCATATAAATATCCCGTTAGGACTTGAAAATCTCGGCATCGACTGCACCAATTTTGAGTATTGTACAGCTCTTGTCTACGAAAATCAAGCTATATTCAAAATGGTCAAGATCGAGCCCTTTGCAGTGGAGCAGTGGATGGACGAGTAAGCCTCACCAACTTACCAACCGAGCTCCTGTGCTGACGCTGTCCAACAGGTATGAGACCACGCCTGGCGTTCTCAACATCGCCGAGACGTGTGCTGCGTCCGTCTCGATTGACGACCTAGGAACTCTTTCCAAAAATAGGAACCCCACAAATCCTGTGAACCTCTCCACGAAACTCACCTACGGCGCCATTAGGGGCTCAGAGAAACTACGAGGCTTGGTCGCCGCTCTGTTTGACAACGAGACTACTACACCTCTTTCAGCCGACAAGATTTTAATCACCCAGGGGGCTATCGTAGCCAATTTCCTCCTCCTGTACACCTTGATTGGACCCGGAGATCATGTCATTTGTGTCTACCCGACGTATCAGCAGCTCTACGGCGTCCCGCAGAGCCTGGGCGCTGAGGTCTCCCTGTGGAAGCTCAAGTGGGATAATGGCTATGTGCCAGACGTCACCGAGCTTGAGTCCTTGGTGAAGAGCAACACAAAGATGATCATTCTCAACAACCCAAACAACCCAACGGGGGCAACCATCCCAAAGGCCGCTCTCAGCTCCATCGTCGAGTTCGCCCGAGCACGCGACATAATCATCCTGAGCGACGAGGTCTACAGGCCGTTGTATCACAGCCTGCCGTTCGACGGAGATATCCCGCCGTCCATCTTGTCGTTTGGGTACGACAAGACCGTCTCAACGGGATCCATGTCTAAGGCATGGGCTCTGGCGGGTATTCGTCTGGGCTGGATTGCGTCGCGAGACAAAGCCATCATCGACGTTGTGGCTGAGGCGCGCGACTACACGACCATCAGCGTCTCGCAACTCGACGATCAGGTTGCGAGCTATGCTCTCTCCGACGCGGTGCGACCTGCCCTGATCAAGAGGAACCTGGAGCTGGCGAGTACAAACCTCACTCTGCTTGGGGAGTTCGTTGACGGGCACAAGGGGTTATGTAACTGGGTGAAGCCGACGGCGGGCACGACGGCGTTCATCCAATTCACAGATGGTGGCAAGCCAGTGGATGACGTGGCATTTTGCCTAGACGTGCTGGACAAAACAAAAGTAATGTTCCTTCCAGGCTCGAAATGCTTTGGCCATGATCAGGACTTCAAGGGATACGTGAGTACTGCCCACTGCCGATTCATCCTTGGCCCTCTCTTGGCTGGGTGAAAAGGTTTGCTCTGCATCCCGCGGTGATAGCTAATGCAACTGTACAGGTTCGGATCGGATACGTGTCAGAGACGGACGTGCTGGTCGAGTCATTAAAGAAGCTTGGAGAATATGTGAACAAGAACCTGTCGTCGTAGCAGTTCATCTTGGCCAGGCCGCGCAGGTGTTGTATTCGTGGAGAATCTTGCGTCGACATGTCAGCCGTGGTGACCAAGTCATTGTCAAGAACGGATCGGATGTAGTGTAACGCAAGAAATTTGCAGTATCACACTATAGCCTCCAGCGTGCTCCGAACCAAACGGCATTCTCTTCCGAGTCCGTTCGAAGTCGGGACTTGGAGTGGCCGGGCGCCAAGAGCCAAGCCGTGAGCTTCTTGGGAGGATCGTCGGACAAGACAACGCAGCGATTCGTGAAACAAAGGCCAGAGAATTGTAATCTCATCGGCATCTTTGAGGAGTGTCAAGTCCGAGGTGCATCAACAGCGTGTACTACATGTCCCAATGCTCAAGTGAACTCGAGTGTTGCTGGCCGATTGGTATGTTGTGCGTGAAAGGTCATGGTGCATTTCCACAGTGTCCGCCAGTTCAAGCCGCAGTCTGCTGCTGTACTCCGTATCTAGCGTGGTAAATGGCGTGTGATTCCTCGACACGGGCTTGGCATAAAGGTAATACTCTGGTACCCTGGCTATCCATTACCTGAGAAAGTGGAGGAGGGCAGAGACAGAGTGAAGGAGAAGACTGATGGGTTATCGCGTGGCCGTTGGTAGAGGTTTTCTCGCCCAGGAGGCAGCTGAAACGGAGCATACGTCGACCCAGCACCTGGGCTACTGCTGGGCAGTGCAGTGCAGATCGGCCCGGCAAGGAGTAACGCTTGGAGTTGGAAGGTTGGCAGGAAGAAGTCAAAAGGGAGAGCTCAAAGCGGCAGGCCCCCCCCCCCCCTGTTGTTTCCATTAATAAGGCCAATCCCACAGTCCCGTCGGCCACCCCACAACCCTTCCCGGCTCACCCAGGGGCTCAGCCATCTCGTGCTATGCATGGGACGACAACTGCCTCCCTCCACGGTCCACGTTGGAAGGCAGGACAGACGACTGACGACGCAATCCGTCATCGTCTCGACCCGATGGCCAACAGCTCGACAGCGGGAACCCGGCAGTGCTAGCTGCCATCTCCCAAGAGCATCCAAGACTTTCGCGGCACCTTGCGCTCTCACTCATTTACGACTTACTTATCTGGCCCTCGCGCTGCTTGGCCTTCTTCTTGGGTCACGCCTTTGCACGCCGCCGTTCTCTTGGCTTTTCCTTGGTTTTTCTTGCCTCAAACTCCCATTCCAGCCCTTGCGCAACATGCGCGCCTCTCTTTCTTTGACCTCTTCCCAGCTCGCTGACGTTCCTTACGGGCGCTTCTGAGGCTGTTCGTCTTCTTATGAGCCCCGCTCCCATCCCACATTTTCACATCGACAAACTGCTTCGCTTGTCGATTGTCTCCTGCTTGTTAGCGAAGCTGGGGTCGTTCTGAGCCTGGTCTGCCCTCCTTTCTCTAATTCGGGTCCTGTCCGGCCAATTCTCTCCTTGCATCTTGTGGCCTTGGAGGCTCGCGCACACGAAGAGCCTCGTACCACAGCAAAAATCATTCGCCGTGGCAGTCGTTTCATGCCGGTAGGATGTCAAGGGCATTCGCTGTGCTGGCCGTTTCTGCCGGCTTATTACTTGCGCCAGCCGCCAATGCCGCCGGCACCGTCCAATGGGACATCCAGAAGCACCACCCCAAGGCGAGGTTCGGCAGACGCGCAGCAGATACCCACGAGGGCGTCATCACGAATGAGCTTACCAGGGGTGGCTACTTCGCGACGTGCTCCATGGGCACACCTGGTCAAAACCTGACCTTGCAGCTTGATACCGGGAGCAGCGACATCTGGGTACCATGGAACCTAGCAACTGTGTGCGAGCAGGAGAAGTGCACCCTTGGCAACTGTGCGCAACAGTCCCCAGATTTGAAGATTGTGATGATCAGACGGCAGCTGACTCTGCCGGCACAGTTAACCCCAATGCCTCCTCGACCTACACCGACGCCGGGAAGGGCACCTTTGACATATCATATGTCGATGGTAGCTTCTCCAATGGCGACTACTTCATGGACACTTTCGAGATCGCAGGCGCCACGGTTTCGAATGTCACAATGGGTCTCGGCTTGAACACCACCATCGCATACGGGCTCGTCGGAGTGGGCTACACGTTAAATGAAGCAATAGTCGACACCGAAAACTCCCTCTCGGCCGCCTATCCCAACCTGCCCGTAGTCATGGTAAACGAGGGCCTCATAGGGACCAACGCCTACAGTTTGTGGCTTAATGACCTCGACGCAAACAAGGGCAACATTCTGTTTGGTGGCATTGATACGGAAAAGTACATGGGCAACTTGACGAGAATCGACATACTGGAGAATAACAAGACCAACGTCTACGACTCTTTCCTGGTTCCGGTCACGTCTTTACTTGCTGTTAGCGCTAGCGGCACCGACGAACTGACATCAAGCGAGTTCCCAATCGAGGTTGTCCTGGACTCGGGCACAACCCTCAGCTACTTGCCCAGCGACATAGCAGAGCAGATATGGACAGAAGTCGGCGCCGCATACACCCCGGAAGTCGGGCTCGCCCTGCTGCCCTGCCGGATGCAGAAGAGCGAGGGGCACTTTTCCTTCGGCTTTGCCGGTCCAGACGGTCCTAGGATCAACGTGTCGATGGACGAGCTTGTGCTCGACCTCGTCACCTCCGGACCTCCACCAACCTTCATCTCCGGACCGTTCGAGGGCGAGGACGCGTGCGAATTCGGAATCCAGAATTCAACCAAGAGCCCATTCCTGCTGGGCGACACCTTCCTTCGGAGCGCATACGTGGTCTACGACCTGGTGAACAACGAGATCGGGATGGCGCAGACGGATTTCAATGCCACCAGCTCGAACATCGTTGCTTTTGAGGGCAACGGCTCTACTATTCCGTTCGCCACCTTGGTTTCTAATCAGAATCTGTCCACCCCCACGACGGCCGCGTCCCCTTCTTTTGCGGCGGAAAGCGGCTTTGAGGCAGGAACGCAGGACAGTGGGTCCGCGGCCTCTCTGCCACTCGGCTTAGGACACTCGCTCTTCGTGGGCTTTGCCATACTCACGTCCATCTTCCTTTCTGTGTAGACCAGAGCGCTACTCATGGTCTCGCTAAATTCACTTTTCTTTTCATGGCTCGACTGGCGCCTTATTTTGGCCACCCCTTTTACAGCATATACCCATTTTATGGTGCGCAGTCGCAAAACGGCAAGATTGGCACTAGCGTTACTACCGCCTCTGACACAAGTCACATTTGTTTCACGATGAGTTGCATCTTAGGTGTTGGGGCAAGCAAGCAAGCATTGGTTTGGAGTTTAAATGAACTTGTTTACTCGGTGATGAGGCTAGGGGATTACTGCGTGCTACGAGGCAGGTTAATAGATACCCAGCGTTACTGTCGGTCAAAATTGGACATGTTAGAATATTCTTCCGGTAGGGCGATATGCCCGTCATGGTCGAGTAACGAGAAAGTAGATGATATGAACCGCGCCCACCGGCGAATTCAATCGAACCAACATTTGAACGTTACGGAAACTAGCTTCGAAGCCTGCTTGCATTCTTCTACAGCAAGATCCAAGATGCGTGGGCTACCATTAAAGTGTACACCGGCCTGCTTGATGGTCACTCAGTTGATCGGGCTCATCCTCAGCTGGGCCTTGAAATGGGTACAAATGGTAAACACATTCAGGTATGTCAGTCCAAGTAATTCGCTCTGTCCGAATTTGGTCCCCGATATTCATATCTGCTGACTATGCACATCGAGGAATGACCTTTGGTGACCTCACGACACCGACACTGTTCTTGTCCCGACAAGGCGCAACGCTCCCAGCCATTCTCTCGACTCATCGTCATCGCGCCCAAATCAAATCGTAAGTATCATATTGTAAGTCAGTGCGAAGCTGTGAGCAAAAAGACCCGATATCGTCACAATCACAACTCAACAATCCCTCACACAAGCAGCCTTACTTCGCAGAACCCGCCCCCACGGTCTCTCGTCTAGACTCGATTCAGCGCCCCAAGGGTACTCGGAGTCACATCCTTCACGGCCTTTGTCAACTTCGGCAGCGGCTTCCCGGGTTTCGTGTTCGGTATCCAGTTGCCGTGGACCTGGTTACGCATGGCGAAGGGCAGCTTGACCAGGGCGACGGGCTTGGTGAAGTCATTGGTGTCGAGGATGACGATCTCGCCCTTGGGCACGCTGGGGCTGTCGCACCAGAAGATGACCCAGCCGTCGCCCTCCGGGGCGTCATCAGAGCGGGGCACGAACACGGGCTCGGCCAGGCGGCTGCCGTCCTCGGGCGGCTCGAAGATAGTAGTCTCGCGCGTCTCGGTGTCGAGCTTGACGACCGAGCTGAAGCCGAACCTGCGGCCCGAGATCTTGCCCGCGTCGCACGCCGCCAGGTAGACGACGCGCTGCCTGCGCGTTAGGAAGTGCTCGTCTGTCTTGGGGAAGTCGACCAGGCCCCGGAACAGCACGTCCGGGTCCGGCAGCCACGCCTCGGCCGGCTTGTCCAGGTCGATCGTCCAGCGCACCCAGTCGCCCGTCGGCTCCTCCGGGTGCTTCATCCCGGGCGGGTTCCAGAAGGTGAAGGCGACGTTGGATGCTATGAAGTGGCTTTCCAGCTTTAGGTTACCGTCCTCGTCCTCCCACGCGCCGCCCGTGTGGATCACCAAACCGTTCTTCCAGTTGTACCGCCGCACCTCACCGGGCTTCCACCCGGGTGCTTGGGTGAGCCCGGGTGCCGCGGGGCCACGAGGAACCCGGAGGGCTTGTCGACCACGTACTCCCAGTGCTGCGAGCCCTTCTTGAGGTCCTCGTCCAAGTTCACCTTGAACGGCATGGAGCACATTACGATCCAGTTCTCGGTGACCCAGGCGTCGTGCACCATCGTGGGTTCCTCCTCCTGGAACTAGAACTCATTTGAGACCTTCCCGTATGGATCGACGGTATACACGCATACGTCCGGGGTCCCCAGGCCCTTCGCCTCATAGCCCCAGGTCACCAGCTCGTTCGCGTATGGGTCGACCTTTGGGTGCGCAGTAAATGTCTTGGCCTTGGCCTGTCCCCCGAAAGGATCGCATCCCCTGGTCTCGAGTGTGTCCGGGTCGACTGCGTAGGGCAGGCCGCGCTCGCTGATGGCGAGCAGGTTGCCGCCCCAGTAGAGGATGATTGTGTTGGCGGTGGAGTCGTTGGCCATGCGCACGCACGGGTGGTTACTATAGGGGTTGCGGTAGATGTGGAACAGGCGCTTGTTGGCCTTGCGCTCCAGTAGCCAGCGCTCCGTCTCGACGTACTTGACCTTCATGTCGACGCGCCCGTCCTGAAAGCGCAGAGCACAGATGTTGCCGTCGCCCTCGGTGAAGCCGTTGGCCGGGTGTGGTGTGGAAAGGCTACAAGTGTCGTGAGTGGTTTGAAAGCATGATTGTAAAAGCGTCTATTTCCTAAGAGTAGTTTAGAAGGAGGAAATAAAAGAAATTTAGCTATTTAAGCATTCCAGAAAGTAGTTATAAACTAGGGTTAGGGATATATATATAATACACCCCTTAGTTAAAAAGTAGTTCTTACCTTATTAATTGCCTTACTTTTTTAAATAGCTAATTTATACTTAAAAATATTAGCTATAGCTTATTAAGTAATTAATTATTTAACCTTTTTTATAATATATATACTTTATTACTTAAACTTTAGCTACTTATAGCTTTATAATGCAGTTTATAATTAATAATTAAACCTCTTTTTTAAACTTTTTAATTAAATTTATATTTAAAAATATTTACTTTTATTAATTTTAAGCATTTTTTTAATTATATTAAAGATAATTAAAAGTAATAAAAAATAAACTTTTAAGCCTTAAGTTATTTTACCTTTTTATACTTTTAAGGTTTAAAAAAAGAAATATAAATATATTTAAATTAATAAAAAGCTTATTAATAAAAATAATAAAAGCTTTAATGCTTTTATTAAAATATTATTAAATAATATATTTAAAAGTAAGTTTTTTAATTAATTTAAAAATTAATTTTAAAGCATATATTAATTCTTAACATAGCTTTAAAGAATCTTTAAGTATATATAAATAGCTTAAAGCTTAAAATAAAACTCCTTTTTAAGGAAAAGGTTAAAATAAAGTATAAAAAGAAAAAGAAGGATATAAAAAAGCTTAAGAAAATTAATAAGCGTTATATTCCTTATTTTCTTTATATTAAGAGTTTTATATATAATTATAATAATAATTTTTATATAAATTATAATAATAAAAATAATAATTATTATTATTATTATACTTAAGGCGATTTTTATAAGCTGCTTTTAATAACCTTTTTGCTATTTATGCTTTATCTTTATTATGCTTAATTTAATAATTCTTTAGCGTTTAAAAAGTTTTAATATGCTTAAAAAGAGGCTTTAAATATATATAAGCATGGAAAGTTTAATTTTACTTATATTAATTATATTTTCATAATTCCTTTTAATACTTAAAAAATCTTTACTTTATAATAATAATTTATAAAGGTTATAAAGAATAAATATAAGGATATAATAAAGCACCTTAAAGTTTAAATTATAATTGCTTTAAAGCAGCATAATAAAGCTAATATAAAGGCTTAAAAGCTTTAAAATTAAGTTATTAATAATATAAAAATTATAAAAGAATATAAGAATTATATTATTATTATAATTAAGCATTTTAATTTTAAGGGTAATATTAAAAAGTAAATATTATTAAATTTTAATTTAAAATTATAATTAAGAATTTAATTAAAAATTAAAAAAGTTTTTTAAAAAAGTTAAAAGGTTATTATAATAATTAAAAAAAGGTTTTAAATTAATTAATATATTATTATAAAAATTAAAAGATAATTTTTAATTATAAAATAGTTTTTATATAAGGGTTATATTATAATTTTTAAAAAGTATAGTTTTTAAGATTTTTAATAAAAACTTAATAGCAAGAATAATTAATAAATAAATTAATCCTTTTTTATTACTTTCTTTATATCTTAAAAATTTAAAAAAGCTTTAAAATATTTAAATTAAGTATATAATAAAACTTTAGTAAGTTTATTTATAAGTATTTTTTTAATTTTTAAATATATAATGTTAAAGGTTTCCCTTTTAAATTCTTATTTTAATTATATTTATTAAATATTTATATATTTAAGCTTTATTTTTAGCTATTTATATTTATTAATAATTAAGCATATTATTATTTAGTTATTATAATAAATAATTTAAGGCTTGCTTAAATTTAAGATTATATTTTTAAAGAAGCGTTTTAAAGCTATTATTTTTTTAGCTATAAGCTTTAAAGTTAATAATTTAGCCTTAGTGATTAAAGTGGAAATAATTGCTTATTTATATATTTTTTAATATATAAGGCTTTTAAAAAGGGTTATTATATACCCTTGGAAAGATCTTTAGTTTTTATTATTATTAATAAATAAAGCATTTTTAGCTATTAAAAGCGCTTAGGCTTTTTAATTCCCTTTAAATTATAATTTAAGGAATTAAGTAATATATAAATATTAAATTACGCGGTTTATTATCTTAAAGTAATTTAAATTTAAATTTATAAGGAATCTTAATAATATAAAGCAAGGAAATGCTATATTTAGGTATATTATAATTATTATATAAAAAATAAAATTAACTTTTTCTTAAAACTTTTAAATTTTTTATTTTAAGGCTTATTTAAAGAAAGGCTTAAGCTTTTCTTTAAGTATTAAAGTAAATAATAAAAAGTTTTTATTTTTTAATAAGTTATATTTATTTATTATTTTTTTAATATATAAGTTATAAAGGAGCGTTATAATATGCTTTTCTTAGTTTTTAAGAATTTATATATTTAAGAATTATTAAGCCTTTTTTTAATTCTTTATTTTATATATAAACTTAATTTTATTTTTAATTCTTATAAAGAATTTATATTTATTCTTAAAATATATAATTAAAATATTATTTATATAAAAAAGGATTATTATTTTATAGGCTAGGTTCATAAAAAGGCATGGCTTTTTTAATAAGGGTTTTAAGCTTAAATTTTATAATATATAGCTAAAATCCTTATATTAAAGAAATAGGGAGTTTTTAAGTTTATAAAGTATTTTTAAAAGTATTTTATATTTCCTTAACGTTTTAAATTTATTAAGTAGTTTGCAATAAATTTAATTTAACTTTTTTTAGCTAGCGTTTAAAAATATAATTATAATATTAAATTATTAAATCTTTAAATTAAAGTATATAGTAATTATTATTATTATATAAAATAATTTTATAGCTAGGGTTGTAATGTATATATTTTTTATAATAAAATAAGGTTATAGGTTTCCTTAAATATAAATTCGCGCTTTAAAAGATTTAATTATTTTATCTTTATTAAGCTTATATTTATATATTTATTTTAAGGGTAGCGGTATTAATTTTGCTTTTTAGCGCTTAATAATTCTTTAAATATTAAGCTTAATAAGGCTTTATATTTCTTAATATATTGCCTTAAGCTATTTATTTTAAAAGGGGCTTTTTTAAGTTTTTCTTTATATAATTGGTTTTAAAGGGAGATTTTTATAATATTATTATTATAAATAAGGCTTAAACTTAATCTTAAGGGCTTAAATAATGATTATTATAATATTATTTAAAGTTAAAAAATATAGGTTTTTAAGTATTTTTTATTTTTATTTTTTAAGTTAATTAGGTAGGAAAGTAATTATAAAGTTACTTTAAAAAGTTATATTAAGGTAAAATATAGTTGCATTTATTAAATATAATGGTTAATTAAAGGATTCTTAAGGGCGTTTATCTTAATTATACACTTAAAAAGATCTTTTTATAAGTTTAAACCCTTAAATTTATTCCTATATTTTCTTTATTTATATTAATTAAGAGGATTCTTAATTTCCTATAGCTTTAAGTATATATAATTTTTAAAAGGAAGGTTTAAGTTTATTAATTTTTATTTTATTAATAAAAGTATATTTTTCTTTATAAAAGCCTTGTTTTAATATATTTAAGGTTTTTTTAGGGATTAAAAGTTTTTGTTTTTAATTTCCTAAGCTTTTTAAAAAGGCAGTATATAGCGAACTTTGCCTTTTAAATTTAGAAGTCCTTACCCTTAAGTTTTAATTAAAAGTGCTAGTTTTATTCTTTTTTAGTATGAAATAGGTATTAGATTTATTATTTAAATTAGTTAGGTTGTTTTTTGCGTAAGGTATTAAGAGTATAATATAAATATAGTTTTAAATCTCTTTAGTATTAATAATTTTAATATTTAATAATTTTACTTTAAGAGTTAAAAGGCTGTTTTTTATTTTATTTATTATTAATTTATAAAATATATTCTTATTAAATTATATATTTCTTATAAAGATTATTTACTTAAGCAAAGGAATTTAAATTTAAAAAATATTAAATGCTATATAATTAATTAAATACTTAATATAAGCTTTTAATTCCCCCTTTATAAGGCGTCTTTTTATATTATTTTTGCATTCCTTTCTAAGCATATATGTTTTATATTTATAAGCATAGATATTATCTTAATAGAGCAATAAATAAGGTATAAAATGGTAAATTTATGCTAATTTAAATTATTAAAAATGGTAAGAAAATTATGCATATAAAAAAGTATTTAGGGCGCGCCTTTTTTTCCTTAAAGCAGGCAATATATTATATAATTAAGTTATAACTTATATTGCCTTTAATTAAAGATTAAAAGGTAAATTAGCCTTTAATAGCATAGCTAAAGTATGTTTAATTATTGCTTTATTAGCCTTTTTTATAATATTATTTGCTTTTAAGATTTAAAGGGGAGCGAGTTTTAAATTAATATTTTCTTATTTTGCTTATTTAATATATTTAGTATTTATAAATTAGCTAATTATTGCAGCCTTGGTATTTTATTTAATTTTATAAATATTTAAATTATATTACCATTTTACTTAGCTTTTATAGGCTTAAAAAGTGCTAAATACTTATTTTTAAGTCTTTAATATAAAAAGGAAAATATAAATAAATCTTAAGAACTTATTTATTATTATAAGCCTATAGTTTAACTTATTTAATGCTTATAAATAATAAAAAAGGTTTTATAAAATTTAAAAAAAGGGTTTTAAGCTTTTATTTTTTAATGGCCTGCATTAAACTACCTTTTTAGCAAAGGCTTTAAAGCAATTCTTATAGTTAATTTATTTAATTTTTTTAAATTTTATACCTATAATAGGCTTAGGCTATTGCCCAAGCCGTAATATATGCCCATGCTAAGCCCATACTACACCCAACCCTCTTATATAATAAAGCATATATTTA